GACAGATGGTCCTCCAGCCTCTGCTTAAAAACCTCCAAGGAAGGAGAGTCCACCAGCTCTTGTGAGAATCTGTTCCACTGTTGAACAATACATGGAGTGTAAGGCTGTCAAAGATTACTAGCTGTGATGACCACGTTCTACATCCATTGTTGTAGACCGTATGTTTCTAAACACCAGTTGGTGATAACCACAAGTGGGGAGAATGCTGTTGCGGTCAAATCCAGCTTGGAGGCTTCCCAAACGCATCTGGTTGGCCACTGTAAGAACAGGATGCTGGACAAGATGGGCCTCTGGCCTGATTCAGCAATGCTCTTCTCATGCTTCTGTGATGGGAAAGAGTCTCTGTCAAAGTTCCTGGGAAACCTCTGCCAATCAGAGTAGACAATATTGCACTTGTCAGAAAATAAAATAAAATAAGATAAAATTATAGTCTGACCCAGGCTGGATCTATATACACTGCAGAAAAAAACATGTTATGAACACTCTTAATGGAAAAATCCCATTGGTGACGAATCTATAGCTCTACAGCACCATCCGGTGTCACATGTTTATAAAGCAGTTATAACAATATAATCGATGAGTGTAGCTGAGTCCCATGTATAAGGGCACCTATGTTTAACTGAGTAAATGAAATCTGTTTTAAATAATTGTTGTAATGATTACTGAGCTAATGTATTTAAAGTGCTTTGTACGCTTTGGAAACCTGCCACAGAAACGCTGTTATATTATTAATAGGGGCCTGTAACTAGAGAGCTGGGCTTTGCTTTCAGATCCATATGAGAACTTCCCCCTTCCTCCTCTCTTTAACAACTCTTCCCCTGCAACTCTTTGCTTTCTCCGTTTGCCTTCCTCCCTGAGACTCCTTCCCCTGGCCATCACTTCCTCTGAACCACAGGCTATTCCAACTCTCTTGTTTTAGCCACCCAACCACCAACCACTCATTTCCCTTTCTCCGCTTGCCCTTTCACTAGGCCAGGGTCACCGACCTTTGGGGACACAGGGGCATGTTTGGAAATCAAAAGAAATTGTCACTGGCATCAAAGTACACCCCCACAAGCCCTAAACACTAAAAAATGCCACCACGTTGTCCCTCCCTTGCTGGGCATTTGCCTCTTGAAGCAACTGCATTACTCTGCCTAACGATAGGACCAACCTGCAAACAATCTGTTTCAATCTGGCCTTTTGCACTCTGATGAAACTGCTGCACACAGATAGCTCAGTATAAATAATTATTTAACAATATTTATCTCAGTATGTATTAATGAGACCATTAGAGGGTCCAACGGTCAAGAAGGAAGTTTCTGTATGTGCTGTAGAGGGAACTGAGGGGTAGATGAGGCTCGTCAACCTGGAAAGGTAGCTCATCTAGGAGATGGAAAACTGATCCTAAATCTCTGCTGCCTTGTGGGATACCTTCAGGAGAGGAATAGGCAAGGGAGTAAACCCTACATGAATCCAGAGTGGAGTCCCTAAGGCAGTTGGATGGCTCCTTGTGCACCTCCTTCTGGCAACTCCTGTAGCCAAGCTGGTGCCAAACATATTTCTCTGCTTTCCTTTGGACCACATCAGCAAGGACTTGTCATCTGGGCAACTCAGGACCGCCATACAATCTGCCTGTCCTGCACCCTGGGGGGGGGGGGGTCACTTTGATACTGCTAATATAGTGATTTGACTTCACCCCCAGAGGCACACTCCATTGTCTCTCAAGACAGACAGATGCCAACAGTATATTATTGTACAGTACATAATATTGCCATTTCCTCCTCACACTCTAGATCTACTTACTGAAGAAATTATTGATGACATAATCTGTCTCAAGCGAGCTACAGCTGAACCAGAAGGCTTGGCAGACTGGTAAGGGGATGAGTTTGTCTTTCAGTAGCCTTGTCTATCTGCTCCACCCATATTTCCATTCTGTATTATCTCCTCTTTCTGGTAGCTGTCCATCTAGCCTTAAAATCCCATTGGCAGTAAGCACCTGTGCCAATTCCATTTTCCAGTTCTTATTGGAGGGTGGGCAAGGAAGGAATGATTGCTTAAGATTTCTGGTTTGAAACCTTGAATTAATAGTAGTAAAAATAATAAAAAAAAATTGCCATCCTGATCAGTGTTTGAGTGGGAGAAATATTTCAAATAACGGAACTGCAGATGCAGTCACACACACGGTTGTATTCCCCAATAGCCTGGGTCCTGAAATCTGGCATTGGGACTAAACCTCAGGTTTGGGTACTCATGAACACGTAGAAAGTCATCTAGACATATGAAACTAACTTATTACAAGTCAATAGCATCTATTACTGTCTAATCTGTTTGGCATAAGTTCTCCAGGTTCTCAGGCAGAAATGAGTCTTTCCCATCACCTGATCCATCACCTGATCCTTTTAAACTGAAGATGCTGGCGAGTTCTGGTCCATTCCCTGCACTCACTTTGCCCAAAGCCAGGAGGACTATCACTCCAGCACAGATCAGCTCTGCATTCTGGACCAGACTGACCCACAAAGAGAGGGCACTGCAGTAAATTATCTACAGAGCAAAGAGATTCAGATTTTTTAGGCACACGTGACAAGGCAAGGATACCCCAAAAAGATAATTTAAGTGCAGATTAAGGCCTAGTTCTTTCTGAGGTTGTAAACCTGAGTCTGTGCTGCATCACTCAGATTGCACTCAAAGACTTGGATGCTTCTTCATACGAAATGAAACACAACGCAATGCAACGCAACGCAACACAACACAACACAACACAACACAACAACACCCTACATAGACATGCTATCTGACATTGAGTTTAGTTATGTTCAGGGATGTTTTTGTATGAAGAAGCATGCAATCCTGTGACTCCCCATTGGCAATCTAAATTGGTATGACCCAGTTCCAAGTTTCAGACCCCAAAGACAAGTGGGCCAAAGAGAGACCCCAAAAGTAGTGGAGATGTCCAGATAATCACATAGGCAAGTGAGTCATAGACACACGAGAAGAATAACCACCCTGTCAAGAACACAGAATCTGATTTCTCCTCTCAGCAATTTCAGGGAGATACTATAAATAAGCATTCTCCGTGTCCTTTGTCTGTGTCAGCTGTGGGAAACCTGTGCTCCCCTGCCCAGGATATTGTTGGACTCCCAACTTGCATTAGCCTCAACCATAATGGCCAATGGGGTGGGATGATTGGAGTTGTGGTGTGGCAACATCTGGAGGGCCACAGGTTCCCCAACCCTGTCCAGATTGCTGTTCTCAACAAGGGCATGCATTCAGGACACACCGTTGTACAACTAGGACCTCCAAACTTTGCTGGCCCCGCAGTTAAGAAGAAGAACCCTGCTGGGTCCAGCATTTGGTTTCCACCAACGTTCCCATCCTAGCAGGGACCACGGAGACTGACAGCTACCCTGGGCCCCCATACCAGATGGTTGGTTCTGTGAGCCACTATTCAAATTCCCCACAGTCCTCCAGCAACACGAGGCAGATGTGGAGAAATGTACAGCCTGATACTATCATGTCACACTTTTGCATTTCATTACAATGGAAGTACCGTATTTTTTGCTCTATAAGACGCACCAGACCACAAGAGGAGGAAAAAAATATTATGAATCTCAGAAGCCAGAACAGCAAGAGGGGTCGCTGCGCAGTGAAAGCTGTTCTGGCTTCTGGGATAGGTGCGCTGCCTGCATTCACTCCATAAGGCGCACACACATTTCCCCTTACTTTTTAGGAGGGAAAAAGTGAGTCTTATAGAGCAAAAAATACGGTACATAAGAAGCTGCCATATACAGAGTAAGGCCATGGATCCATCTGACTCATGACTGGCTTCGCATGCTGTTTGCATTTCTTTCTCTCCCTGCTCCCCCTTTCTCCTTAGGTATGGATGGAGAGATCATTGCCGCGGCAGAGATCTGAGTTACTGGGTCGCTGCCTGCAATCTGTGAATTAATAGCGCCATCCTGGAATGTCCTGCAAGTCACCGTGCCTACCTACGTCTTGTCTTCAGATGTAATTCCATAATGTAATCTGATTGAAGCCATAACGCTATTTTGATAAATAAACTCCATTCCCAGACAAGGCCTTGCCATGTACTTTGTCATGTCCCTGGTATGGATACTGGGGGTGGGCATCATGGCAGGGCAGGGTTGTGGGGAGAACGGCAAGAGGAGCTGCTTGTCCAGAAAGAAACAACCAGAGCTGGCTAGATATGCTGAGCTCTGGAGTGGGGTGTGTCAAGCTTGTTCACGTACATACGCAAACATTTCTTGAGGGTTTTTTTTTGTGTGCCTTGTTGCCCCGCAGAGGACCTTAAGGTCCACAAATGACAACACTTTGGAGGTCCCAAGTCGCAAGGTGGTTAGATTGGTCTCAACTAGGGCCAGGGCCTTTTCAGTACTGGCCCCAACTTGGTGGAACGCTCTGTCACAAGAGACTAGAGCCCTGTGGGACTTGACATCTTTCTGCAGGGCCTGCAAGACAGAGCTGTTCCACCTGGCCTTTGGTTTGGACTCAGTCTGACCCTTCTGTTTCCTTCCCCTTACGGTTTTGATTTATGGGCTACTTATAAAATGAGGCTGCATTTTAAATTGCATTTTAACCTGCATTTTAAATTGGTTTGTTTTTTCCCCTATTATGCTTTTATTGTAATTTTACTGGTGTTAGCCGCCCTGAGCCTGGCTCTGGCTGAGGAGGGCGGGGTATAAATAAAAATTATTATCATTATTACTATTATTAACATATATGACTGGCAGCTAGCTTTGCGATCTAATAGCCAAAACACCTTCAGACTCTTTTTAGCAGCATGCTTAATTTTAAAGACAAAGCAGCTAGATCTGGATTGGGGCCCACAATATTTTCCTGTGGAGCACCCCCATCCCCCGCCACTCCTGCCCTGCCTGCTGTTTGCACCTGAAGGTGCTGTTTGTGGTAAACAGTGCCTTTGGGTTGGCCTCTTGTGTCCTCAGATGAAATGATCTCATAGTCAGTTTTCAGGGAGTTCTGGAATTCCTCAAAAGTTCTAAATGGAAGAGGAAGAGGGGTCAGAACCTGATGGCAGCAGCTTCCATGCAAAAGCCACGGTGGCTTCCCTGGCCTCTCCCACTCTGCTTTTCCCCTTGTGAAGAAGGACATCCTTGCTTCCCTGGCCAGCTTGGCAGGATCTCATCCTCTTCTTGCAAACCGTGAGCTGAACAGGGTGATGGGGATACCTAGGTGGGACTTGGGAACAGTAACTACCGGTAGCTTTTGCTTTCTGGAAGCTGCCCTGCAGCTCCATCTGCTGGGAAGTTTGAGGGGAAGCGTGTCATTTAGAGAGGGCAACCACATCTCTGATATTTGTCTTCATTTTACAATGCATAAGAAAAGAGAGCAATTGCAACAAACGCTCTTAAAATTCATTGTATTCTAATCAATTGTTTTTATATTTGGTGTTAGCCGCCTGAGCCCGGTCTTGGCTGGGGAGGGCAGGGTATAAATAATAATAATAATTATTATTTTAAATCTTGTTGGGAATATTGCTGCCACTTATCCTCTCCCAGGATTTAAGGGGTGTGTGTCTTCCAGAAAGGTACCTTCAATGGACCCCCTTAAGCTGCACAGAACAGGAATTCCCACACACTACCACCAGTATTGACGCGGGTGGCGATGTGGGTAAAACCTCAGTGCCTAGGACTTGCCGATCGTATGGTCGGCGGTTCGAATCCCCGCGGCGGGGTGAGCTCCCGTCTTTCGGTCCCAGCTCCTGCCCACCTAGCAGTTCGAAAGCACACTTAAGTGCAAGTAGATAAATAGGTACCGCTTTATAGCGGGAAGGTAAACGGTGTTTCCGTGTGCTGCGCTGGTGCTGGCTCGCCAGAGCAGCTTCGTCACGCTGGTCATGTGACCCAGAAGTGTCTCCGGACAGCGCCGGCTCCCGGCCTCTTAAGTGAGATGGGCGCACAACCCTAGAGTCGGACACGACTGGCCCGTACGGGCAGGGGTACCTTTACCTTTTTTACCACCAGTATTTCCTGCCAACCTAGCAGTTCAAAAGCACATCAAAATGCAAGTAGATAAATAGGTACCACTCCAGCAGGAAGGTAAACGGCGTTTCCGTGCGCTGCTCTGGTTTCACCAGAAGTGGCTTAGTCATGCTGGCCACATGACCTGGAAGCTGTACGCCGGCTCCCTTGGCCAATAAAGCGAGATGAGCGCCACAACCCCAGAGTCGGTCATGACTGGACCTAATGGTCAGGGGTCCCTTTACCTTTACCTTTACCACCAATATTTTGGGTGCTCATAATGTAAATGGGGGCAATGGGCCCCTTGCTGGTCTTGGGTTCCCAGCAGAAGCCCACCCTTGCTACCCTCTGGAGCTAGCCATGTCTGTCCTCTGGTGGAATATGAAGCAGTCACCTGAGCAAGGTCTGGACACAGAAACTGGGAACTGGATGGGACATAAGGATTCCAGACTGGTTCAGAATCACAGACCTTTTGGGCATTCCATCCCAGAGTTTGTATTTGTTTTCATTTATTATGTATGTAGCTATTTAAAATATCCCCCGTCTTTTTGCGTAAAATAAATGTTCAAACCAAAAATAAAAAATAGAGACCAGTAGAGTTACCTGCTAGGCTTAGCCATTTTGTTAGCTTCTTTTCCCCGTGGAAGATCTAAGGAAGAAAAGTTCAGGTAGTATTCTGCCTGATTAATCCGGGCCTTGCAACATGTGGCTGGCAGTAGGGCTGGGTGTGGGAACCTGGCTTGTCGTCTACAAGCTGAAAAGCAGCAAGGGAGGTTGTGACTCACCTCACAAATGTGGTGGGCAAGTGCTGCCTAACCCTGCCCCTACGCTCTGATTTCCCCTGGTTACTTCCTCCGCCAGATGCTTTTACCCTGGGCAGGATTCCAAAGGTGTATTTGTTTCATGGCACAGGGAGGGTTGCAAGGAAAAAGTAGGGGCAGAAGGTTCAGCATCCTCCTTTCCACCTGCTACATCCACTGATCTGGCACCATTTGGGCTCCTAGGCCAAATATACATATTACACTGCTTATCTTTTAGTGTTTGGCAGCTTTGTATTGACTCCTAGCAGCTGCTCGCTAGAAAGGCTGTGATCTTAGGCCTGGTCCCCTGCCTTTTTCATAGTGTCACATGAACTATTGGTGTTTGAGACAGTAATGGGTGCCTTGAAGACAGTTGTCACAGCCAGTTCTCCTCCTGTGGTTCAGCCTAGTCTCAGATCTTGCCTTATTGTCAGATGACTCCTCACTGTTGACTTTCCCTGCTGCCCAGTTTCTGAAGCCATCCCATTATCACCAAGAACCACATTATCTCATTCTAGAAATACATATTATATTAGCAAAGCCGGGCTCTATCCTACGGAGGAAGCATCTGAAAGGGGAGAAGCAGTAGGTGGGAGGGGTGATATCTAATCCTACCTACCACTTTCTCCCTCAGACTTTTCTTCCAGCTCTGCTTTTTTTCTGGCCTTTGATGAAGCTGGGAAAAGAAAGGAGTAGGAGTAAGGAGTAGGAGTAAAGTAGTGCCTAGGGGAAGGGTGAATCAGGCCTCCTCCCACCTGATGCTTTTCCTCTGCAAAAAGAAACCTCATCTCCACATTCATACTATACAAGTAACATGAGATTGGGAGTCTGTGTTCCTAAGATCATAGCCAGGCCATTTGTGAATGCAGCTCCTCAACGGAGGGCATTGTTTGTGTTCAAATAATGTGGATGAGTGGAAGTTGGACAGTTATATACTGATGTATTTCCAACTCAGAATCACAAGGTGGCTAAACACATTGCACACCCGGTAAAGCTGACAGCTTCTCCGCGCCTTGCCTTAGCTTACCTTTGACATAACATGTAGCTCTCTTCCAGGGAAAGATAGATGAAAAGCCTTGTACTTCAGCCCAACCATCTCTTTTTGTTTAAAGTAGCGATGGGGAATGTGTGCCCTTGTATTTTTAATCTTTCTTGGAAGCCGCCCAGAGTGGCTGGGGAGGCCCAGCCAGATGGGCGGGGTAAAGGTAAAGGGACCCCTGACCATTAGGTCCAGTCGTGGCCGACTCTGGGGTTGTGGCGCTCATCTCGCTTTACTGGCCGAGGGAGCCGGCGTACAGCTTCCGGGTCATGTGGCCAGCATGACTAAGCCGCTTCTGGCGAACCAGAGCAGCGCACGGAAACACTGTTTACCTTCCTGCTGGAGCAGTACCTATTTATCTACTTGCACTTTGACGTGCTTTCAAACTGCTAGGTTGGCAGAAGCAGGGACCGAGCAACGGGAGCTCACCCCGTCACAGGGATTCAAACCGCCAACCTTCTGATCGGCAAGTCCTAGGCCACCCGCGTCCCCTGCCTTAGCTTACCTTTGACATAACATGTAGCTCTCTCCCTACTACCTCAAAGGAAGAGACTGAGAGCTAGATTCATTTGAAGGGTCAGGGAAAGATAGATGAAAAGCCTTGTACTTCAGCCCAATCATCTGCTTTTGTTTAATTAGAGATGGGGAATGTGTGCCCTTGTGTTTTTAATCTTTGTTGGAAGCCAACACTCCCCAGAGTGGCTGGGGAGGCCCAGCCAGATGGGTGGGGTACAAATAATAAGTTGTTGCTGTTGTTGTTGTTGTTGTTGTTATATATTATTATTATTATTATTATTATTATTATTATTGCAGATGTTGTTGGACTCCAGCTCCCATCAGCCTCAGCCAGCATGACCAATGCTAAGGGATTATTGGAGTTGGACTCCAAGAACACTTTCCCCATCCCTGTTGATTTAGAGCTTCAAATGCGCATTTATACATACAGTATATAAGTTCATCCCTCATAAATATCCCAAGGAATGGGTTGGGGGGTGATTGGTACTAGCCAAAAAGTGTTCATTCCAGCTGGCATTTTCCTGGTACAAACTGAACAATGCTGAAAAACCTACCCAGAGATTGCCCAGGACAGAAAAAATGTATTATTTTGAGAGGGCAGGGGTGTTTCCAACCTCTGTCACTCTTAAAGCATTATGTCTCTTGTCCCCTGTTTGAGCCAACCTTCCTGTTTTTCTGCTTCTCCCTAAAGGAGTTAACTTCAGAGGTTTTGTCAACTCCCTCCCATCCCATTGAAGCAGCTAAGACGATGATCCACTTATTACAGACCCTCCTCCTCACCTGCTTTGCCGTCACTGTGCAAGCCAAGATCTTTGGTCGCTGCGAGTTGTACCACGTGCTGAAAGTTAGCGGACTGGATGGATATGAGGGGTACAGCCTGGCCAACTGTGAGTGTAGCTTCTCAACGCAGAGCATATTTCAAATGTTGTGGGGAGGAAGGAGTGAGATAACAACCAGGGTCTTTCCAGACACCATTTCCTTGTCTCTACGTCCATGAGAGGGTGGCAATTTATTTGCTTTGGCCTAAAACCTGTCCCAGCTTCCTTCTTACGAATGCTTCCGCAAAGCACTCCATTATCTGAAGACCTAATGAATGAATGAATGAATGCCTCTCTGAATGAATGCTTCTCTACTCCCCATTCTTGCTCTGAGCCAGCATTGCCATAAGGCAACATGAGATGATCCTCTCTGGAAGCAGATTTCTATTACACAAATGGAAGGTACACGGATCTGACACAGGGCTCATCCACACTCGCCTTTTGCCCTGCTCTATCTAGGCACAGTTCCAAGCTTTCCCAGACTGTGTCTGAACACTTTTTTCTTTTTTCTTTGCATTGCCACATTCAAAGTGTTGGTGCTGAGCTTTAAATCCCTAAATGGCCTTGGCCCACTATCCTTGAAGGTGTGTCTCCATCCCCATTGTTCAGCCCAGACACTGAGGTCCAGCACCAAGGGCCTTCTGGCAATTTCCTCCCTGCGAGAACCAGGTGGAGAGCCTTCTCGGTGGTGGTGCCCACCCTGTGGAACGCCATCCCATCAGATGACAAGGAAATAAACAACTATCTGACTTTTAGAAGACATCTGAAGGCAGCCCTGTTTAGGGAGTTTTAATGTTTGAAGTTTTATTCTGTTTTTAGTGTTCTGTTGGAAGCCTCCCAGTGTAGCTGGGGAAACCCAGCCAGATAGGTGGGGTATAAATAAAATAATGGTGATGATAACCCAGGAAAATTGTCTATTTAACACTGAATTCGAACATATAGCAATTTGGGTTTTCTGCAGATTCTGAGTATCAGTTCTGTTGTAGACCTGCACAGCTTCATCCTATGTTAGACTGGATTTTTTCCATAGAGTCACTTGACAGTACATAAAAACAGTGCTTTTTTCTGGGGGTACTCAAAGGTCTGCATCACCTGCAACTTCTTCTTCTTTAAAGAAAAGCACTGTATAAAAGCAATCTGAGAGCTACCTTTGTTTCCAAATTTCTAGATGGAACCTTCTTCACCTCTTAAGTTGTAATCGGTGCTTCACCAGTTCCCACAGTTATACTCTCAGGCTTCCTCTGTCTCTCTCCCTGCTTTTTCCAGGAATAAAACATGCTCCTGAGGTCTGAGCTACAGGTCATAGCCCAATTACATTACAGCAGGGCTGGAGAACCTGTTGCCCCAAGATGATGTTGCACTCCCGACTCCTCACAGCTTCAGCCAGCCAAAGACCAATGAGCAGGGATGATAGCAGTTGATGTGCAGCAATGTCTGGGTGATTGCAAGTTTTCCACCTGTACGTTACAGGACCTCTTGCAGGGAAAATTCCTGGCAGATGGTGCCTCAGGTTACTTGCTGCCCCAGTCACCAAATTTATCTTGGGACATGCCAGTCAGTAGGGTCTTCACACACACACACACACACACACACACACACACACACCACACATCTCCAGCTCGCCTAGCCACAGCTGACCTGCTTTTCGCCTGAGGATGGGGGAAGCTCCCACTGGCCCCTGACCTGACAGGACAACCATCATGAAGGAAACCTGGAGGCTTGGTAAAGCCTTTTTCTTACCCCAGATTTGGAGGATTCTTGTATGATTTGTAAAATGTGCTGTAGTGAAAGAAAAAATAGCAAATGTCTCCGTCCCTACATGTATTTGAGGAACGAAGACTTCATACCCACCAAGTGCCTCAGAAAAAAATGGGACATCCTGTTTTTTCACACGCAATCATGGCGGCCATTTTGGGAGCTGCGCTCTTGCACCCTAAAAAAAGTGTTTTTGGGGGGTGAGATTACAGCACACGTCAATTGATTCACCCGGCAGCACATCCTGGAAGATGTGCATCACGGTTTTTGAGCTGAAAGGGCAGACTTTGGCTGAGGGCTTGTGCACACTTCTTTGGGCGGTTTTCCGCTTGTCTCATGTGTTCTAGGCTGTTTTGCTTTGCCTCACCACTTTCCCCAAAAAACTCTCTCCAAATTTAATCCAATCCAATGAAAATCCATTTAAAGTTTGTGGCGATTTGGTGGTCTTTTGAAATGTGATTTATATTTTAGTAATCTGCAGCAGCTTTGCCCCTGGATTGCAGCTCCTCCTTTTCCAACTGCTCCCATCCCCAGCCTTTTTGGAACAATAAATTGGCCACTATTACAGAGTATAACTTCCATTCTTCTCCCTGAAGGGATCTGCATGTCATTTTTTGAGACTGGCTTTGACACAGAGGCTGTTGACAGGCGCAAGGATGGCACTAAAGACTATGGCATCTTCCATATCAACAATGGCTGGTGGTGTAAAGATGAAGGTACCCTTTCAGAGAACCTTTGCTCCATGTCTTGCACAGGTGAGTTCCTTCCTGCCTCCCTCCGCCACGGTGGCACTGTGCCAGAGGGGACAGGCAAAATGATGGGGTGCTGCCGAAAATGGAACAGCTTGCTAAATGCTATGTTAGAGGTGTGGAACCTGGTGCTGTCCATATGTTGTTCAAGCTACCACCAGCCCCAACCCAACATGGCCAACGGTGAGGGATGATTGAAGCAAAAACTTGGAGGGTCACAGCCTCCCAGTCCTTGGGATACATACTACTGGCCTTTCCTGACATTTTTGTTTTATATTTTCATATTAAAACAGAGCTTGATTTAATAGCATAATACCTCTTAGGTTAGTAAGCACATTTTTAGTCTTGTCAGTAATAACACATTGCTGAATTCACATTTTTATGTTAAAATATTGATCCCTCCAAACACAACAATGCAGCTCAAAAATATAAATTAATATTGTTATATTAAAATTGCTAACACATCCAAACATAATCATCCAGCTCATAAATGTAGGCAGAAGATGATCTTTTTTTTTTTTAAGGATAACTTACTCTTGTTCAGAATGCCAGTAAGCCGTTTCATAAAAGTTCATAGGCTGCAAAAGACTGGCAGCTGGTTCAAGGATAATGCAGGAGTAAATGCTGAGCTTTTCCTATTCCACCTCCAAAAACCCCGACTATTTGGTTTGTATTCAAGTGTTTTTACATTGGAACTAGTCAAACTGTCCTGTCCCTAATTTTTACATGCAGACTGTAAGGTTTGCCATTTCAGCAATTACATCCATCAACAATTTTCTTGTTCAGGTAACGAAGGTATGTTACAACAGCACCACCTGCTGGCTGCTAATACCTTAGCAGCTGATCAAGTGCCTAATATTTTGTAATGTGCTTTCAAGCGTTCATTACAAGTGCTTCATAATCTAATTGCAATACCTAACAACAATCCTTAAAGTACTAAAATGCTGGCAGATTTTCACAAGGATGATGGTGGTGGTGGTGGTGATTGCATAATGTTGTGGAAATGTGGAGAACTGAATTTAAGCTTGGAAAAATGAGACACTTGGAAAACTGACAGATTTGTCCATCTTTAGTAACAAAGCATTTTAGCCATCGTGATGGAACTGGGCATAGTGTGAACTGATTTTTACATCCACACAGTCAGCTTTGCTGTTACAGCAATTTGATCTAAAAGCAGCTCCCCCATTCAGATAGAGTAAAGGTAAAGGTAAAGGGACCCCTGACTGTTAAGTCCAGTCATGGACGACTCTGGGGTTGCAGCGCTCATCTCGCTTTACTGGCCGAGGGAGCCAGCGTTTGTCTGCAGACAGTTTTTCTCGGTTATGCGGCCAGCGTGACTAAGCCGCTTCTGGTGAACCAAAGCAGCACATGGAAACGCCGTTTACCTTCCCGCTGGAGTGGTACCTATTTATCTCCTTGCACTGGCATGCTTTCGAGCTGCTAGGTTGGCAGGAGCAGGGACCGAGCAACGAGAGCTCGCCCCATCACAGGGATTCGAACTGCTGACCTTCTGATCGGCAAGCCCTAGGCTCAGTGGTTTAGACCACAGCACCACCCACGTCAAAACTTATTTGGCCCTTTTCAGAAAAAAAAAAAATACTCAGCACTCCCCTGGAGATTGACCTTCTTTAAGTGAAGGGACGCAGTCTACTTGCCATTGGCCAAATATGCTGGCCAGCTGCGATCCACTTCCTGGGCCTGGGTGAAGCTGGAAAGGGTTCACCCAAGCCCGTGAAAATCCCTTGCCTCTAGCATAACCGATGGATCCAGAGGAGGTGTTGTTGCCGTGCACACCAGTGCAAGTAGATAAATAGGTACCACTGCAGCGGGAAGGTAAATGGCATTTCTGTGCACTCTGGTTTCTGAAGATGCCCACCAGCCAGTAGCAACTTAGTAGCAGGTTGACCAGGCACTGCCTGATCAACAGTCTTCCCCACTATACCATGGAGAGATGTATTTCTATTTAAATTGTCGTAATTGTTTCTAAATGTGCATCTATATATGCACATTAGCGTATACAAATGTTATGAGCATCAGAGTCTCTTTGCTGGTGATGCATTTCCTTTGTTGTATTGGCAGCACGTAAGGGGCCACCCTGCCTTTCACCCTAGAGACACAGGGGTAGAATAACAACAACAACAACAGCAACAAATTTTATTTATACCCCGCCCTCCCTGGCCAGAGCCGGGCTAAGGGCAGCTAACACCAGTAAAATTATAGTAAAAACATAGTGGGCGGGGGGACCAATTTAAAATACAGGTTAAAATGCAATTTAAAATGCAGCCTCATTTTAAAAGTAGCCCATAGATCAAAACCATAAGAGGAGAGAAACATAAGGGGCAGACTGAATCCAAACCAAAGGCCAGGCGGAACAGCTCTGCCATTCATTCATTAAAAGTTGTGGCCAGTGACAAATGCCAGTTTAATAGTAGAAACCAAAGCAATGTATATATATATTTTTTAAAATAAAAAAATCTATGCTGGAGAGAAGGCAAACAAGGCTCCTCTTCATCTGTTTGCTTTATTTACTTGCCCTTCCTGCAGCAACAAGCATATCTCCAGGTGTGCTACACATCAGACGAGGAAGAACTGTGGTAGCCCAAGACACTTTGCCACCTGAAAAGGAGTCCAAATGATTCCAAAGGTCCCCCCCCCAAGTTAATAATAATAATAATAATAATTTTTATTTATACCCCGCCCTCCCCAGCCAAGGCCGGGCTCAGTTGTGGGCTTTGGGCTCTCATATTTCAGTGGCAAACTGTGCAACTCTAAAATCCAGCACGCCCACCTCTCGCGTTCTGTTCTACATCATTGTTGCGGCACCCCCTGCAACACCAGCACCCAGAGTGGCGGAGCCAGTTGCGCTACCCTAAAACTGCCTCTGCTCCCTCACCGTCAGATAACTAACACTTCAAAAATCTTGCATTTCAGACACCATTTCCGACCTCCATTTATTTCAATTCCTGGGCACTACCTAAAGCAGCCCAGTTTACCCTGCTTCATGGCATGGGCCACCCCACCCATAAGAGCCAACTCTGAGGGACCAAAGGGATCTTCGGCCCCCCAATAAAATATTTGAGGGGCCCGTCCCTCCCCCCAAAAGTTGATGGGTATTGCCATTCAAATGTTGTGCATGTGTCGCATCATGTGATCGATTACGCAGGGTGGAGTTTACCAGGGCCCCCCAATATTTTATTCAAGTTGGCACCCCTGACCCCCACCCTTGTTGATGAGAGGAATGGGGAGGGAGTAAGTGGGCTGCTTCCATTCCTGCTACATGGGGGTTGCTAAAGGATGTGGCAATCCTAGGGAGATTTGATTCTGCAATTAGCCTTAAGCTTGTCTTTTAGTTTATTCTAACCCTGTGATAATAATCGCCGACTTCCCCTTCCATTCATACATTTTCATTCTCTTTTCTAGATTTATTGAATACGGATATTCACGATGATATCTTATGTGTCAAGAGGATTGTGAAAGATCCCCAAGGCATGGGTACCTGGTATGAGAGCATCTTCTGTTTTCCCCCATCTAGGGGCTAACTCTGCAAACACCTCCCTCACCTGGTTGTTCCAGCGTTACCAAAACCGATCTGCTCTCTCTGTAGCTGTATTTCTCTTTCCTGCTGAAATAGTCTTGACAGACACCCCCCACTGCTTTTTATAACAGCCTTACATGCTGGTCTCAAGCAGGTGGCATTTCTCCTATCAGTTTATGACAGGAACATCTTCTCCCTGGCCTTAATTTATGTGTGCCAGGCTGCTGTTAAAGGCACAGGAGCCAGGCCTGCTTTGATTTATTTATCACTAAAAAATCCAAGTCAGACATGGGGGTCCTGTGTGCCTCTAGAAGCTGCTGGGACACTAACTCCCATAATCCTGACCCTTGGTCTTTATGGCTGGGGTTGATGGGATCCAGAGTCCAACAGCATTGGTTCCCCTGCTTGATCTAATAAATTGTCATATTTCAGTGCTGGATCAAGCATTTGGCTTCAAACAAGCTGGATCTCTAATGGAGTAAAGAAGCTCACTTTATGTTTTCCTGCTTGCGGGCACACGCGCTAAACCCTGTCTGTGGTGCCTACCCCATTATCCCAAATGATGAGACAAGAGACCAGAGTATGGGTTCAAATTGGCCACAACTTTATTGAACTTCAGAAGTGGGAAACTTGGCACAGGCTTTGGCAGGTAACCCTCTCAGCCCGCCTGGCTGAGGAAATGCAGTTAGTAGAGGCCCAGTGAGAGGGGACTGCAAAGCGCAAACTTACACAGCATGCCCTTCCACCGACCTCGTCCCGGGAGTTTGACCTACATGCCCCCGCTCTAGGGCCAGGGACTCCCGGTTTTGCCCTTTAACGGGCCCTGCAAGCGCCGCTGCATGGGGAGGGAGCATGAATGCATCCCCCCCCAACTTGATGTTAGACTAAAGGCTACCTTGCCAAGGCTTAAAAACCACCAAAGTTGTGACGAAATTGCTACGGGGAAGGCGAAACCTGCCAGTGCAGTGGAAATTTCTTCCCGGTTCTGAATACAGCAACCATCTTACAACCGCAGCAGCGCCCGCTGACCTGGAAGGCAAAATATTAGCCTGTAAAGAAAGAATAATTAAATTGAAGATCACTGACCTAGGCTGGAATTAATAAGCAAGAAATTATTAATTTGAGGGAGGGTGGGTGGGTGATCCTGGCAGGAAGAACAGCAAAAGAGGCTTGAGCCAAGGAGTCAGCCTCTTTTCTTTTGGCCTTAGGCCCACCCTCGGCCGGCCATCCATTGTCCTCCCTGGCCGAGGGCGGGTCAAAGGCCAGCTCAAGCAGGTGGGTGGCACCCGCCCAGGTGAGCCCCGCTTGGTGCCGCAAACCCCGCCCACCTGTGGGGAAGGGAGGGCGGATATTGCTGCCTAAGTCAGAGGCATCCAAGGAAACCAGTTAGTAGAGTAGCCGAGTCTTATCACCCCCGTGAGTGCCTTTCACAACCTGGAAACAGGCAGGAATCCATAGCTGAAGCTTTCTCTACCACTGAATTGCTGTTCCAGAAAAACCCACAGCTGCTGATTTCTAACTTACTACGCAGAAGCTAAAGGCACAGGGTTCCTGGCAGAAAAAAGTTGGTAACCGTGTCATAGAAATGCAGATGGTTAACCAAAGATGGGACTCCTTAACACATGCAGGAATTCTTGTGTACTTGAGTGGTTTGGTTGCATTTATTTGTGCAATATTTTCAACACATAGAGAACAAAACGTAAGATAAATAGCGCAGATCACTGTCCTGAGGAATTACAAGCTAAAATGCCACTGGTGTGAGGATGTCATGTTAGCACAAACCCAACTTAATGGGGGAAGCCTTCTCACTTGGATGTTAAGGAGAACAGGGCAAACCACAGACAATTTCTGAATAGCTGTGTAGGTGAAATTCGGCAGGTATTGTTATGCAGTGACAAAAGAAGCTTCACTTGCCAAAGTTATCATCTGTTCATAACTGTTAAATGCCCAGGACTCTTCCTCTAATTTTCACCTGATAATTCCAGTGTATCCTGGGGACACCCCTTGTGCACTGAGCAGTAGGTGGAAGCCAGGAGCCTTCAGTGTAAACGGCACATTATGAATTAATGGTGCAGTCCAAGATCCATTATAAAAATCACCAAACAGCCTTGCTGGGGTGGGTGGGTGTGCGCGCGTGCGCGTGCACACCTGCCACCAGTTCCTATGAATGTTTACTCAGAAAGTAATGTTTACCCAGTCAGTCCAACACTACTTACCCCTTAGTAAGTGTGCTTTGCTGGAATTGCATCTAGAATTCTCTTGAATTTAGTGGCTTGAACCATGCTATGATGGATTATGGTTTAATCCTTTTGGTCTGCAACTGCATTGTAGTTTGAGAAAATGCTATGATCCCTATGCATGAAAAACTGTCCTTAGGAATAGCCATTGTGGTAACAGACTTCCTCTTTCTCCAATTTGCCTTCTGCAGGAAGGAGTGGAAAAAGCACTGTGAAAAGCAAGACCTGCGTGAGTGGGTGAAGGGGTGTAAGCCCTGAAAACCTGTCTACCTTCTGTTTGCCATCTCTCATGTCATCAATACAGAGCTGTTTGGGTTTTTTCTTCTTGTAAAATGCTTCTTATATCTGTTATTTCCCTGGATGGTAAAAAAAAAAATCCAAATATGAAACGAAGAAGCAATTTATGCTGTGTACACACCATACACACACACAGAAACCCCCCTCCAATCCTAGGAACTGCAATTAAAGGAGCTGGGAGTCATAGCTCTCAGAGGATTAAACCACAGTTCCCAGGATTCTTGGTGGGAAGTTATGTGCCTTAAATGTATGAAATACACACATCTTTAATTACTTTGCATCCATGGCATCTACACTGGTCCCCTACCCATCTCTGATGCAGATTAGGACAATTGGAATCTCCCCATTTGTGGAATGCTCTCCCCAGGAAGGTTTGGCTGTCACCTTCATTATACACCTTTAGGCGCCAGGCAAAAAAAGTTCCTCTTTAACCAGGCCTTCAGCTGATTGGCATTTATGCCCTTTTAAAATGTGTTGGGGAGGGTGGGGATTATTGAGCTGTTCTTGTTTTTATTTGTATTACGTATTTTGTGTTTTTATATTGTGGTTTTTTGTTGTGAGCTGCCCTGAGACCTGTGAGTATAGGGTAATATACTAATACTAATAATAGGGGAGGGACGCGGGTGGCGCTGTGGGTTAAACCACAGAGCCTAGGACTTGCCAGTCAGAAGATCGGCAGTTTGAATCCCCGCGACAGGGTGAGCTCCCGTTGCTCGGTCCCAGCTCCTGCCCACCTAGCAGTTCGAAAGCACGTCAAAGTGCAAGTAGATAAATAGGTACCGCTCCGGCGGGAAGGTAAACGATGTTTCCGTGCACTGCTCTGGTTCGCCAGTCATGCTGGCCACATGACCCGGAAGCTGTACGCCGGCTCCATCGGCCAGTAAAGTGAGATGAGCGCCGCAACCCCAGTTGGCCACGACTGGACCTAATGGTCAGGGGTCCCTTTACCTTTACTTTTAATAATAGGGGAGGCACAAACTATACACAAACAGGAGACATATGGGTGCAGGATTCTTCCTAGTGTTGCCAACTGAAGGTGGAGGTGGTGAGGGTAGCCCTCAAGGCAGCTTGGCTTACACATGTTCTCGAAACAGTTCCCTGCAGATTTGACCCAAGGTATTTTTCTCCCTCAGGTGGGCACGATGGCACATGCAGACTGACTCTCTCTCTCTCTGTCTCTCTCTCAAGCAATTTCACCTGACTGGCAGTTAAATCTTGTTCCAACCCTGATGAAGGGACAAGCATTCCCCAGTTTGTGCACAACACACACAGCTCTCTGTGCTTTGTCACCCTGCCACTACTCTTTTCTCCTCAGTATCTGCCACCCGAGGCAGCCGCCTCACTCTGCCTAGTGGTAGAGCCGGCCCCAGATGGTTTATATGCATGAATTACGAGAGGGAGATTTTTACCACATGGAGGTAAATGCTATCGTTCTGCCGCATCTTCAGGGGACACTTCAAAAGCAAATTCCAGTGCTTCCCATATGCTTCCTTTTTTCTTTTTCCTTGTGAGTAACTGGTACCAGTAACCTTGTCCTTGCAGGGCCATATCCATCTGGAAACACTACAGGAGACTGATGAATATAATATAGGCAGGGGTGGAGTTTGTGGCATAGGTAAGGTTGGAATCCAAAGCCCCACTTCATGTAATCCTTGCCACTCCTCTCCTGCTCCAATAGCATTTCTTGCCTGAGACACCCTCCCTTTGCCTAATGTTGGGCTGTCCCTGTTAATCCAACAGCATCCTGTGCCCTCAGACTATTTCTTGAGTCCAAATTCTGAATTATGAAATGTTCCTGAGTTTTGAATGTGTGCGGTATTTCTTTCCACTCTCCACTTTCTTTCCACTTTCCACTCTCAACCTGCTGCATTGTCTAACCCACATTTCACTTCTAAGCCAAATTTCGCTTCTTTTCCCCTGTGCCACTAGTTAGGGGAGAGCACAGCTTCGCTTCAAAGTCTGCAAACTCTTATCCCAACAGAGGCAGGTCCAGGAAACAGTGTCACACCTTTTCATCTATTCCAACATTTTGGTCATATATTCCACACCATACATTTAAAGCACTATTGCACCCTTTTGACAGTCGTGGAAAACCCTTGGAACTATAGTTTGTTGTGGGTGCTGGGAACTGTAGCTTGGTGCAGTCAGCACCCTTAACAAACTACAGTTCCCAGGATTCTTTGTGGGGAAGCCATGACTGTTAAAGTGGTCTAAGACTGCAACACACGACATCAACGTATGCAAAAGCCGCTGTCATAATGCTTTGGGTGAGAGACAAGCAGTGCCGTGTGAAGTGATGTGCAACCAATAAATATTCCCTCTGGATACAGCTTGGAGGAAGGAGAAGAGGAAATTTTTCCTAGTTTGCTGCTGGGGCTGTCAATGCCAGGGTGGAATAGGGAAGAAGCTGTGATGATGATGGGTTGAGAGCAAAATTTGGGAAGCAAGGTTTGTGTGTGCCTGTCCCAGACTATTTGTGCCCCAGGCAAGGCACTCCCCCAGTTGCTAACAGTTCTAATAATGTATGAATTACTTTAAAATGATAAGATTCTTCAAAATATAAAATAAAAGTAAAATATTATTAGAAATTTATAAGTGATAACAAAAATGAATCTGTATAAACTGTGCCCCTCTGAGGCTTGCGCCCTAGGCAAGCTGCCTACCTGGCCTAATGACAGCACCAGCCGTGCAGCTGTTGGGCAGTGTGGATAAAGGATGGGGTTTCCCACACATCCCTCGGCCTCCGCTTGTCCCACAGGACAGGCTTTCAGCTAGTTTTTAAACAACAGCCAAATAGTTGCCTCTACACGGTAAAAAATGTGCCCAATCGACTGGACATTTCTCACCGAAGAAGCTTCAGATATTGACTTGAGTCATGTCTTGGTTTGAGAACCATTTTGGTATGTTGGGTCCAGCTCTGGAACCTGTGGAATAATAATATGGGAGAGTGCCTCTGAGCACGTGCTGAAAGCCTCTTCCTCACCTCTGCGTGAGCACAACCAGCCCAGCTTCCAGGCTCGAGACAACATGATTTCCAGGCAGGCCAAAGCCCCAGCATTGTCCCACCTGGGAACTGGCCTCTGAAATGATTGTGTGGGTGGGTGGATTGTGCCCATTCAAGGTTCAACCAATAATGGAGGTTAGATATACACAGTAGGAATGTGAAGGTGACTTTATTGGGAACCACAAAAGGAGGAGCAGAGCTGCCCCTCTGGCTGTGAGGGATGAAGGAGGAGATGGCAGGGGTGCTGCTGATCTCAGCAGGCCTTTACTTTCCCTGGCACTGCTCCAGGCTCCGCTCTGCTCTGGTTCCGGAGGCGATGTGGTACGTGGAGCACTTGATGGAGATGTCAGAGGTCAGGCGGCTGCGAGGGATGCTCAGGATGCTGCTGGCGCTGTAGGAGCCATCCTCATTCAAGACCACCGGCCCAGCAGTCACCCCCTCTGATATGTTGACTCCAGCCTCACTCCACTTGATCTCTAGGAACCCTGGGTAGAATTTCTCGGCGATGCACAAGGCGTGGATGGTGGGCGAGTCCGCTGTCTGGTAAGCATCAGACAGGAGGGTGACTGAAGCCGGCTCCTTTGCTGATTTGCCTGGGAAAGAGACACCATGAGTGGGCCACAGAATCCAGGTGACCTGATTATTTTTGGGTGGTGCTGCTGAATGGGGGTTTCCAAGCAAAGTTAACTGAGAATCCCCAGCAGTACTTAACAGAGCCCACACACAAAAATGCCACCCTGGATAACTTAATGCGTCATTTGGGCCCCAGAGGCATGGGTTGGAGTTGATGATTTTCTTGTGGAGATTGCGCAAGCATTTCTGTTGTTGAGCTCCTCTCCCACTCTGAGGGCTTATCCATACTTGCCTTTCCATACTTTTCAGGTATTTCCCAGCACTTTTTTTTTGGGTCTGGAGTTTTCCACACCAAAACCCACTCTTTAAAGCAGAATTGGAGCAAATGGCAATTGCCGTTGGCTGTGCTTCAGCTTTAAAGAGCAGGTTTTCATGGGGAATGCTCCAGGGCATTAAAAAAAAAAAAAAAGCCAAACAAACACAGTACAAACTGAGAGCATTTGCAGATGACTTAGTATTGACGTTACAGGAGCCAGAATCTAGTACTAAAAGGGTTTTAGAACTAATTCAAGAATTTGGTCAACTGGCAGGATTTAAACTGAACAAGTTAAAAACTAAGGTTTTAGAGAAAAATTTAACACTGATTGAAAGAGAGAGGTTTCAGAATGAGACAGGCCTGACTGTGGTTAAGAAAGTGAAATACCTGGGGATTAACATGACAGCCAAAAATGGGAACTTATTTAAAGATAATTATGAAAAATGTTGGACGGAAGTGAAAAAGATTTAGAAATCTGGTCAAATTTGAAGCTTTCACTGTTGGGTCGTATTGCTGTTATAAAAATGAATGTATTGCCTAGAATGCTGTTTTTGTTTCAAACATTGCAAATTGTGGACAAGATGGACTGTTTCAAGAAGTGGCAGAGAGATATTTCTAGATTTGTCTGGCAGGGCAAGAAGCCCAGAATAAAATTTAAGATATTAACTGATGCAAAGGAAAGGGGTGGATTTGCCCTGCCAGACTTTAAACTTTACTATGAATCAGCAGCTTTTTGCTGGTTGAAAGAATGGCTACTTCTTGAAAACACAGACATTTTGGACTTAGAAGGTTTTAACAATGTATTTGGATGGCATGCATATCTGTGGTATGACAAGGTTAAAGCGCATAAAGCATTTAAAAACCATATTGTCAGGAAAGCACTGTTTAATGTTTGGATAAGATACAAGGATTTGTTGGAAAACAAAACCCCAAGGTGGCTGTCACCGATGGAAGCGAAAGCTCTGAAAAGGCTCAATATGGAGGCCAATTGGCCGAAATATTGGGAAATTTTGGAACAAGATGGAGATAGACTGAAACTGCAGAGTTTTGAGAAACTAAAAAATAAAGTGCGAGACTGGCTTCATTATTATCAGATAATGGAGGCATATAATTTGGACAAGAAAATTGGCTTCCAGGTGGAAAAATCAAAATTAGAAACAGAACTGTTAGAACCCAAAACTAAGAATTTGTCAAGAATGTATAACTTGCTGTTGAAATGAAATACTCAGGATGAAACGGTGAAATCTGCTATGATTAAATGGGCACAAGATGTTGGACATAATATTATGTTTGCTGACTGGGAACAGTTATGGACCACAGGTATGAAGTTTACGGCATGTAATGTCCTAAGAGAGAATATTATGAAAATGATATACAGGTGGTACATGACCCCAGTCAAGCTTGCAAAAATCTATCATTTGCCCGACAATAAATGCTGGAAATGTAAAGAAACTGAAGGTACATTCTTTCACCTTTGGTGGACGTGCCCAAGGATTAAGGCCTTCTGGGAAATGATATATAATGAACTGAAAAAGGTATTTAAACATACCTTCTTGAAGAAACCAGAGGCCTTTCTCCTAGGCATAGTCGGCCAATTGGTGCCAAAGAAGGACAGAACTTTTTTTATGTATGCCACAACAGCAGCAAGAATACTCATTGCAAAGTATTGGAAGACACAAGATCTACCCACTCTGGAAGAATGGCAGATGAAGGTGATGGACTATATGGAACTGGCAGAAATGACTGGCAGAATCCGAGACCAGGGAGAAGAGTCGGTGGAAGAAGATTGGAAGAAATTCAAAGATTATCTACAGAAATATTGTAAAATTAATGAATGTTAGAATGATGTTGGATAGTAATTAAGTGGTTTCCAGCTGTAATGCTTTAAGGGAATATGAAAAAGGGTTATAAATAGGTAAAAATTTAATATTATTACTTTTAAAGGATTTGCTGAACCAACAGATTGAAGTGAAATACAAACAGGGAGGTATGAGGAGGTCCGGGAAATAAGTCAAAGGAAAATAAGTAATGGAAAATCTGTGTGTTTTTAACTATTTTTATTTTGTATTTTTGTCATTTTTTTTTCATTTTTATTGTAATATTTAAAAAAAATCTTAATAAATATATTATTTTAAAAAAAGCCAAACAAACAAACAAATGCTCAGATGTAGAGCTTTAAAGCACAGACCTGTGCTTAGAAAGAGTGGGACAAAAGGTAAATTTGCCTAAGCCCTCATTCTATTTTCTGACACCTTCCCCCCACCCAGCACCCCAAATCTGTTTTTCAGGTGAACAAGCAAGGCATCGTTGCAGACTGTTGTGTACATGGAGTCTGCTGCTGTAGAGAAAGGGCATTAGAGGACAAAAAGAATAGGGCAGAGTTGGGGAACTTGCAGCGCTCCAAATGTTGTTGGACTCGCTTTCTCCTGTTATCCCAGCCAGTGTAACCACTGACCAGGGATGATGGGAGTTGGAGTCTGCCTATATGCAGCAAAGTGCTAAGTAAGTTTCCTGTTGACGCAAAGATTTCAGCTTGTGCAACAGGACTCCCCCTCATACCCCTGCTTAAATCTGCTCTGGGTTCCCCCATAACTCTCCAGAGCAGATTCAGGGAGCGCAGGCGGGCGAGAAGAGGCAGGGGGGAAGTTCTGCTGCACAAGTGGAAATCCTTGCAATATTGGAATGCATAAGTTGGATCCCACTTTTCTGATATCACTTTTCTGAGTGTTCATATTAAGCAGTTCACCTTACAATAACCCTATAAGGTTGCTAGTGCTATTATTCCTACACTGCAAGCATGAATCTGAGGCGTAGCAGCTTGGCTAAGGCTACTTTGTGAATTCATGCCCAAAGCGAGACCTGTGCTGGGAATTTCCTAGGGCACACTTCATAACTTCTATGGTACACAAGCCCCCCTGCATGCTTCCCGTAGTACATTGGGCTCCCTGTGCCCAAGTGCTCCACTCGTAAGCCATGGTAGTCTCACTCACCTCCTGTGACACTGAGCTGTGTTCCACTCCCTGAGACAGCGGTGTTGAAATAATTTGCCTCTGCCAGGCAGTAATAGATGGCGCTGTCCTCCGTGCGCGCCTTCCGAATCTGCAGCGTGTAGGTATTGGCATCCCGGATGGCCACAAAACGTTCATCAAATGCAGGAGCACGCTCTACCTTTCCATCAATGTGATGCTTCAGTATAAAGACCGGGCCTTTTCCTGGCTTTTGCAGGAACCAGAAGGCATGGTACTCCTGGATATTGCCCCTCTCCAGAGGGCACGGCAGGATAGCAGTGGTCCCCTCTGCAAAGGAGGCCTGTGGTGGCTGGGCGGGCAGAGGCTGCAGCGCTCCACCTGCGAGGAGGGAAGTAGGTGGCTGTTGTGAAGCTAAAATTTCAGCCTGATAATGGGAGTCAACTGTGAATTTTATACAGCTTGAAAGTCTGCACCCCCTTGTATTTAGTGTATTTTGCTTACGGAGCCAGCATTTAAAAAATGATTTCAGTCTGCTCAGTAGCGGTGGGCCAGTTTGTCCATTTCAGTTCTGCTGAGTTTTTAACTTTTCTAGTCTTAAGTTCAGTTTTCCACATTTCCACATCATTTTTTAAAAAACCTCATCTGCATTTTATTGTGAATTTCTCCTAGTATACACATATTTTTATACAAGTTTTGCCAACGCACACATTTTGCAGAGCAAATTCCTATACATTATAGAATATAATATATTCGTGCATGTCATTGTCACTGATATATGCATTTCTTATGCACACTCTGTCCTAGAGTGTTCATTTCTATACACTTCACTTGGCTGCACAACTACACTGCGAGAATCGGAGAAGTGTGCATTCTGATGGGTGGCTATACTTCAGCATATGTATTGTTTAGAAAGCGGGGACTAGATAGGATTGCCTTTAAATCTGAACTGAGTCGAATTTTCCCACCATCGCTATTCGTAAGTACCTAGCGGGTAGATGGAGGGATGATTGAATGAGTGGGTCTGGGTTTTCTCCTCCAGCCTTCTAGGCGTACACCAACCTTTGAGTCCTTTACATCTACCTGCCATTCCTAGACCATAGCCGTGGCCTTTGACTGACCTCCACTGAAAGACAAAAGAGGTGTGCAGATTTCTCTAGCCCATCATGCTCATTCTCTCTATTCTACCACAAGGCCCAAATTCCTCATTTCCCCGTCATTCCCACTGGCCTATTGCAAGTTCTTGGCCTCTCTAGCTTGGCAACCAGCTATGTGTGTACTCACCGTGGATGGAGAGAACCAAAGAGAGACACAGCAGGATATGAGAGCCCATCCTTCTCCGCTTGGAGGTGGTTTGATGACAAAACTGCTTGTCTTTCTAGCACATATGCACCATGCACATTGCTTTATGGCGACCATGCTCATTTGCAAGCATTTGCCTAGAGGCTGCTTGTTTCCCTGAGGTTCGCGCAACACAGCTCTGTCATTGGCTGGAGGCAGACATCGGAAAGAGTCTGGCAAATTCATACTATTGCGTTGAGGGGTCTGGTGGTGGCCACACAGAAACGAGCTGTGGATTTCAACCCAGTGTTTCATTGCGAATTTGTGCCTGTTTTCTGTTCCTTCACAAGCAGAGCTAGACTCTGTGATTGGAAAATGTGGCTGTTATATTCACTTGTAAATTTGAAGTGGGTTTTTTTTTAATCATTGGAATTCTTCAGGTCTAGCATAAATGAGAAAGGGGGAAACATCTAAAGCAGTGGAGAATATGTTGTTTCTCTGTAGCATGTGCACTATTGCATGCATTCTCTAGGAATTAAAACCAACTGAGCTAACTAGCAAGGCTAGTTGATTAACAGAGTTGTACAAGTGAAACCTGCAACAAAACTTACATGCCATCTGCACGGTACATTTAAAGGTGCTTTAAATGGTCATGTATTCCCCCTAAGAATTACAGAAACTCCAGTTTGTGTTGCGATCCCTTACTCCCCTCCAAAAGCTACCATTCGCTTATGAGGGGAATAGGGGGTCTGCTTACAATGCTCAGCACCCTTAACAAACAACACTTCCCCAGGGTTCTTTGGTGGAAGCCGTGCTTTTTAACATGGTATAAAAGTACTTTAAAATTAAGTTGTAGATATGACCCAGTTTTTCTCATCAGTCAGGCAGCATCCTATGGTTACTATCCTCAGCCCTTATTGGATGGTTTTTCCCATTTCCTCCACAGGCTGTTTCACCTTTTAGAAACTTACATAAATCTTTGGTTTTGGGCCCCCCAAATCTGCTGCTACCTCCCTCTTTGTGTATATGTGTTGTGCCATTTGGGCTTCTGATCAGACTGGAGCCCTGCAACAAAATGGTGTGTGGCCACAGACAGCCTTCAGATACCTCCTTTTTCAGTCATGTGGCAGCCTAGAATAAATGAGCAAATCAGTCTCTTAAACTTAAGCCAAGAAATAGTATTCTTTATGAATTGAGTACCAATATACATATCAAGGCTTTGAGATTAGACCACTGAAGAAGTCCGGAAAACTACCTTGGGAGTGTGCTACCAGCAAGCCCCATAGAAGGTGCCCTATCAGGGGCAAACAGTGGCCTTACTTGGCCTGCCAGGGTGAAAGAGGTGCAAAATGCCGGCACCCTGTCTACAGCTTCATTAACATCCATCTACAACTTCAGTAGCATCTCTCAGTATTGTGAACAACACCGAACTTACCTTACCCTTTGTTGGTCTCTTCATGAACTTAATTAAAAAGATAAAGAAAACAAAAGACTGAGTTAAGCATTTGAAAAATCCATTGAAACCAGATATTGTAAGTTCATCTTAGGTTGGGTAGTTCGTAAGTCTTTGTGGCTTTGCACAAGGTTTTGTATATTTCTCTCAGAAGATTGATAAAGAATGTATAATTATTTTGGTAGTTATTGTGTGTATATTAGTCGTCAACGTGTTGCATGAGTCGTACTACTAGAATAAATGATATGCAGCTGCCATCTGGTAATAGAGCAAGTGAACAGGCAGGATGGGGTCTGGGCAGTGGCTGGCAAAAGAGAGAAGGAATGGGTGTGTGTCTCCTTCTTGATAGTCATTTCGCAGTCACTTTATTCCATTTCCCCTCCAACTTAAAGTAACCCCTTCTGCTTTTCTCTCTCTCTGGTTTAATTATATATTTTATCGAGCATTTAGAAAAATACAACATAAACAAATCCAGTCAAACAATAAATAAGAACAACGAAGTACACAGTAGAAGTAGATTCATGGCAAAATAAAGTCACATCTCACAGAGCAAGTGTATTACAGTTTTTCCTCTCAACTATCAGTCCACATTCCACGAGTCCTTAATGGGCTTTTGGGAAGATCCCCTCCCTTTCTTTAGTTGTTTTTTTTTAAAGCAACAACGACAATAATAATAATAATAATAATGAAGTTTTGGTTTTACAAACAAGTTTGCCAATACTCCCTTCTAGTGTGTGGCTGTTTTGGATATCTAGGCTACGGCACTCAGAGAATGGAATGGGAATTAGGATACACAATAATTTCACATCCCATCCTGCAACAATAGTTTTCAAGCTCATTTACAAATTTACAATTAAAAGAATAAACCAAAACATACATGCATATTCAAGGGATTAATGCAGATTTTATAAAGGCAACAATAATGGCCTGCTTCACACATAATGATGTATCATGACTTAGTGTCGTGTATGAACCCTGCCCAGTAGCTTAACTGCTGTTTGTTTTTACCGCCAACAAACCATGATTTGAAGCAATGCTTTGTTGCTGCCTTAACTCGCAGTTTGTTAAACAAGCCATGGCTTAGCGTTATATGTGAACCAGGCTGTTGAAAACACAGAAGAGACAGAGAAAGCTTCCCCTCCACTTTTTCTGTCACATCCCCATTCTCAAGGAATGTGCTACACTGGCCTCCCAGTGTCCTCTTGCTCAGACTGTTCTGTATGTGGACTGTAGATTTCAATTCATATCCATTTCCCATTTAGCCATATTACATTTCTTATTGAAAGGTTTGGTGGACCTGTGAAAAAATCAAAAGCTTCTGGAACACAGTATATGACGAGCTTAAAAAAATGTTTAAGTACAGTGGTACCTCACAAGACGAATGCCTCGCAAGACAAAAAACTCGCTAGGCGAAAGGGTTTTTTGTTTTTTGAGCTGCTTCGCAAGACGATTTTCCCTATGGGCTTGCTTCGCAAGACGGAAACGTCTTGCAAGTTTGCTTCCTGTTTCTTAACACCGTTAATACAGTTGCGACTTGACTTCGAGGAGCAACTCATAGAACGCGGTGTGGTAGCCTTTTTTGAGGTTTTTAAAGACTTTGGTGATTTTTGAAGCTTTTCCAAAACTTTCCCGACACCGTGCTTCGCAAGACGAAAAAAATCGCGGAACGAATTAATTTCGTCTTGCGAGGCACCACTGTATAACTTTATGAAAAATACAGAAGCTTTTCTACTAGGGATAATGGACACAGCTATAGAAAGAGATCAGAAAATATTCCTTTATGCCACAGGAGCGGCAAGGATCCTAATTGTTAAAAACTGGAAAAAATGAAACTGTGCCAACAAAAATGGAATGGCAAAACAAACTGTTAGAGTATATTGAGCTGGCTAGATTAACAGAGGCAGTTAGAGATCACACTAGACGAGAGTTTCAAAAAGCATGGGGGAAATGCAGAGAATACTTCACAAAAGTGCCCTGAAATTACATACCTGGACTTGTTTCGATCAATGTCTGCAGGAGACTTTGTGGATATTTAAATTATAATTAGAAAAATCTTAATAATTCTTCATAAAGGAAACAGTTTATAAGAAGTAAATAAGGAGGCCAGATATAGGATAAAGGAAGTCTTTTATTTTGTTGTTTGTTTTGTTGTATGTTATGCTCACTGTATGTTATGTTCACATTTAATGAGGGTGGATTGTGTATTGGGGGGTGGGGGGTTTATGTTATGTTGTAAATAAAATTCCGATAAAAAATATTTTTAAGAAAAAGAAAAGAAAGGCCTGTGTGTCTTCAGTATGATGCCCTATGCCAGCCTTTTCAAGTCTTGCTTATTGGAAGGCATCCAGGATGCTGAGAGTTTCTGTTGAGCATGTGAAGTCCATTATTTGTTATAATCCAAGTTTGCTTTAAGTTGGAGACATGATTTATTTATATTTCATTTCATTTCTATACTACCCTATACCCGAAGGTCTCAGGTTAAAGGCTTCCAGGAACACTGTTGTCCTGCTGAGAGGTGTTGATAGCATTGCTTGTTTCTTGGAAACTAAGGAGTTTCAAAGCCTCTCCTGACAGGATTAATTCAGACTGCTAGGAATAATGCTTCTCAGCTTCTGTTCTAATGTACTGAGTCAACACAGATTGGTCAAAGGTCGCTTGGTGTCTACATTTATTGCTCAAGACTCTCCACTAATCACTGCTCTCTTGAGTCCATTGTTTGCTGCAGGCTCACTTTGGTAATTTTAATATCTAACCTGAAAGATGTGATTTTGCTATATCATGAGACCTTATATCTCAGTAAGAAATGGCTGGTTGTTGTTGTCATCACTTCTTTGAGGAAAAGCCTCTGAACAAAGTAACCAAGTTCATTATCTGAAGTTTCTGTGTAAATCCGGATTTAGGGGCAGACAAGTCAAGTGACCACTTGAGATATCAGGCTCAGGGCTTTACCCAATTAACTAGATAGGTGAGCCAACCCCAAGTCTGGTGACGATGGCTTGAAGATTGAGCGATGTTTCCTGAAAATGAGGACCTTGTTGAGCTCATAGCAAAATGGAGCTGAGGTGGGGCCTCTGAAGACCTAAGTATCAATTGACACGTCGCCTTCTGTCTTGAAACCCCCCAAGTGGTGAGGCTACAGACAACACGAGCGGCCAAACAGATGGACAAGAGGCCTTCTTTTGGAACCTCAGCTGCTTTTCGGTTCCTCTAACCAAATGAATCGAGATTAGTCTGGAACACATCTGAGCTAATTATAGGCTGGGGTGGCTGATTCTTACGCACCTGGTCCACTGTTTATCTTAACTTGTTTTGTTAAAGGGCTTAAAAATACCTAACCGCAAACCACTTGTGACCATGTCTCTGTCTTCCGGGAACAGCGGAGTGCAGCTACCAAAGGACCTAAATACATGGTTTCTGATCCTTAAACATGATGGTGGGCGATCTTCACCCAGTACGAATGTCTTTATTCCAATAGAGCTGATGAAGCTGGTTTCTCGGTTAGGGTAGGGTTACCAGGCGTCCCTGTTTCCTGGGGACAGTCCCCGGATTTGTGATTAAGACCCCAGACAAATTCCATCCCTGGAACGTCCCTGGATTTCATCTAATGTCCCTGGGAAATGCAGCAGCGGCAGTCTCAGCAGCCTGGAGCAGTTGGCTCTGGCTGGCTACAGGAGCTGCTCGGAAGTCCCCATATGATGGTGGTGCAGGGGCTCTAAGATGCAGCTTCCGGGCTGCCTCCACCTTCCCTGACCCCAGCAACTAAGCTGTGAAGGGAGGCTTTGTACTGCCTATCAGAGCAGCCTCCTAACTCCTACTTGCGTGCAAGTAGGAGCGGAGCGGGGATCTCTCAGCTGTGAAGGGAGGCTTCACGCTTCCTATCAGAGCTTGTGTGCAAGCAGGAGGGGGCTGGGATCTCTCAGTTAGGCAACGGGAAGCCTCCCTTCCTAGCTGAGGGATCCCTGCCCCCTCCTGCTTGCACACAAGTAGGAATGGGATTGGGGTTGCTCTGATGGGAAGGGAGGTATCGCGCTGCCCGAACCTCGCTGCCGATGCTCTTGCCCTTCCTTCTCCGCCTTCCATGCCTGATCCACAGTGCACTGCTTCCCCACCACCACCAAAGAACCAACAACTCGGGCTGCCCGGGCTCATGGAGAAAAGAGATAGAAGTCTCAGAGGAAGGGGAAACATGGCGGCTGAGGTCAAGGTGGCAGCCGCCCTTCTGCCACCACCATTGCTGCAGCATCAACGTCCCAAACGTGTAGTATGTATGTATGTATGTATGTATGTATTTATTTAAAGCGTCCTGAAGTCATTGAAAAAATCTGGTAACCTTAGGTTAGGGTTGCATGTAACAACTCCCTTCTGTATCTTTAATTCAGATGTGGCCCTCCAGGTGTAGCTGACCTGCAGCTCGTGTCAATCCTGGCCATTGGCCATGCTTGTTGGGGCTGATGAGGCTCATAGTTCAACATCAACTGGAGGACCAAAGGCTCCCTGCAGAGTAGTTTAACTCTGAATCCCTCTTCCCAAGGACGTCTGGGAACTGTAGCTCTGCGAGGGAGAAAGAGTCTCCTAACAATTCTTGGCACCTTTAACAAACCACAGTTCCGTGGACTCTTCAACGGAAGCCATGACTGTTTAAAGTGCCATGGTACTGCTTTAAATGTATAATGCCAATAGGGCCTATATTTCCTTCTCTCGCACTTCAGTAGGCTAGGACATTTTTCAGTTACATCTCTAAGTCTATCTGGGTGAACTTAGAGAAGAAGTCCCATCTTGCTCCTCATCTGCTAGTCTTGTAGGAAGCAATGGAACTATGTGTACCATTTGTTCCCTTCAGGATCACTCAGATGTTAAACAAGGGAACAGCACAGCCGTAAAGGCATCTTCTTGCTAAGCAGTGACAAAACAGGACAGGTATCAGAATGGAGGTACTGACTGATCAACAGAGAGTGGAGGAGGAGGAGGAGGAGGAGGAGGAGGAGGAGGAGGAGCATATGGCAGAGCTGGCAGAGAAAAGATAAATTACTCCAGTTGTTAACAAAGCTTTTCAAAGCAATAAAAACAAAAGTTCACATATTAGTCATATTATTCCCCCACAACAAGTGGACTGCCTCACCTTAAAATTTAAATGTCACCTGAAGGCATCATGGTTCACTAGTCAGGGGGGCCATCACTTCCCTGAAGCACAATTTCCCTCAACCAGTGGAGAGTGGAGATAAACAAGATTCTGGCACAGCCTCCTTGGCCCACCCAAGGGTGTCCATGTTAGCATTCTGTAAACTACCTTGAATTTCCAAAAGAGCAAGTTCTGTTTACTGACGCTCACTCATATGCCTACTTGTTTCCGCAGCCAAGCTGAGGGAAACATAAGCGAATGTAGCATGACCAAGAAAGTCAGCCACTTCTTGTGTTCTTATGTGGTAAACCATCCTGTGATCCTCGGATGAAGGACAGTATAGAACAGACATCCCCAAACTTGGACCTCCAGATGTTTTGGGACTACAACTCCCATCATCCCTAGCTAGCAGGACCAGTGGTCCGGGATGCTGGGAATTGTAGTCTCAAAACATATGGAGGGCCGAGGTTGAGGAAGCCTGTAATATGAGCAAAATATGGGCCAAGACAAAGTGTGGATGAGCCCTTGCTGTACCTGTTGGTTTCACCTCTTATATTTTCCTGTGCAGCTGGTGTAGCCTTTTTGACAACAGCTACCCAAAATTAGTTGTATGACACATCCTTCAGTATGATACCCCCTGTTCATGTGGAGCTACACTCCATCTATTTTCTTGTTGTGATGGGCTATTAGCTTCTGAACTCACTTCAGCCTTGACTCATTCAAGGGTTAATTCTGAGACCCAACTGAATTGAAATGGGGCACCTGGTGGGTCACTATGAAAACAGGATGCTGAACTAGATGGATCTTTGGCCTGATCCAGCCGATCTCTTCTTATGTCCTTACAAAGGAAAGTGAGCAACATACCAAGAAGAGTACCTTCTTGTCTCTTAGGGTGGTTCTATAGGTTTGGTTGTTGCTTAAGATCTTGCCACCCAACTTGGCAGGAGGGCTCTTGAGATAGGGGCAGCAATCTTTGTCAACGTTTGGATGCTAGCCACCATTTTGAATCAAGGTGGTTGACGAAAAAGTCACTTTGACATGACTTTGTCCAATTTTTGGCATAGGCTCTGTCACCTCTTGATATATCACTGCCACACTGGGTTCCTGAGGTGGGGGTAGCAGACTGCATTGCCATTTCAATGCCAGGTGCCATTCTGAATCAATACGGCAGGCCAAAACATCACTTTGGTTGTAACTTTGCCCCCCCTTTTTTACACAGGTTAGCCCACCTCTTGAGATATCCTTGCCATGAAGGTTCCTGAGGTCAGGGTCTACATCAATGTGTGGGTGCAATTTTGAATCCGGATGGTGGACCAAAATGTGACTTTTGTATTACTGCATCCATAGAATCATAGAATTATAGGGTTGGAAGTTACCCTGAGGGTAACTTTTGGGCATAGGTTTGGCATCCTCTTGAGATATTGTCGACAAACTTGGCATGACGTTCCCACCACGGGGGCAATGGTCTTTGTCGATATTTGGATGCTGGGCACCATTGTGATTCAAGATGGTAGACTGAAATACGATTTTGGCATGACTTAGCCCTTTTTTTTGGATAGGTTTAGCTACCACTAAATATATCATTGCAAAACTCAACATGAGGCTTACCAAGGTCAGGGCAGTGGACTCTGTCACTGTTTGGATTCTGGGCACTGTTTTGAATCAAGATGGAGGACTGAAACATCAATGTGGCATGACTTCACCCATGTTTTGGCATAGATTTGGCCTCTTGAGATTGTTCCCAAACTCAGCTGTTGGCCTTGAGGAAGGAAGGCCTTCTCTGTGGCAGCTCCTAAGTTGTGGCATTATAGGTTTGAGCAAGGGCTGAAGACACAAACTTCTTTATCCTGGCATTTGGCCCACCCTATTCCTGTGACTGTAATGTGTGTGTGCTTTTAATTCTGATTTTTAAGTTGTTGTAACCTGCCATGGGACCTGCTGGTCGAAGACAGGCAATAAATGCAAACAATAACAGCAACAATAATAACCGCTCAATAAACAAGTCATCTTCCAGGTAGTTCCTACAATCTTTCTGCGACATGCCTGAATAACCCAGGACTTCACCTGCCTAGGGCATCCTTGTAGTGACTCCTCCCAAGGTTCTCCCACCTACAATGTAAGGATAGGTGCTGAACTGACATTATAAAACAGGTCTCCAGTGTTTTTTAATGCATTTATTTCTGCGACTGAGTTAGAACAATTTCTTGACAGGCTGAGACATAACTGAGGCTGGAGTCAGTTTTCTAGCATCCCTGCTGACCCCAGGATATTGTGTTTTTTCTACAAGTCGCACCCTGCAACATATTGAGACAGGTCCTGACCTTGGCAATGTAATCTCCATGCCACCCTGGAGGGGGAAATGAACAGATATGAAAAATAAACTGTGCGTGCATTTTATCAGCTTCAAACACAGCTAGGTTGTCCGTTTTCTCCATTTGGATTGAAGCTGGCTGGGGGTGAGGGGAAAATGCATCAAAACACAGTTATATCACAACTGGATCGACATAGTTTGTGGCTACAGTTGTGTGCACACTGTTTCACAAACCAGTGGTGGGAATACTCTGGATACAGAGAAAACATGAGTGTGCACAATGCTTTTGTTTTATCACTTGACTTGTTTCCCTATGCAAAACTTTCTTAACTAAAATAGATGTGTTAAAGAACATATATTAATTGATATCATCTAACACAGGGGTTGTCAACCTGGTCCCTACTGCCCACTAGTGGGCTTTTCAGGATTCTAGGTGGGCGGTAGGGGGTTCTACGGCACAAGCTGAATCCTCCTTCCATCGAGCACTGGTGGGTGGTAAGGAAATTTTACCATCAAGAAAGATGCATTAGCGGGCAGTAGGTATAAAAAGGTTGACTACCCCTGATCTAACAGATTGCCATGGGCCCCCCTTGAAAAACTGAAATGCAGCACATTTCATAGGCATGGCAACTTAGACTGTGTGCACATTAGTGGCTTGAAACAGAGTGATGTCGTTCCCCTGCTGTCTCCCAACTCACATTTTTACACTGCTGTACAGACCTGGGGGTGGGGGTGGGGCAGGTTGGGGATGTCTTCATCCAAGGCTTGTTACCTGATTTGTTTCCCTGTACATTCAACCCCCCCACCCAAGACTTCTGTTCAACTTCTATTCTGTTCATCTGCACATTTGCAATGACTGTCTCAAGTGGACACACCTCAACTCAACCGTCGCTTCCATTTTCAAATCAAACAGGAGCATTTCTAACATAATTGTGGCACCCTCATATTCCCCAGCTCAGAGGGAACTGGTGCTTCTGCAGTGATTGTGGTGTTTAGGGTGTCCCTCCACCTCTCACAAGGGAAGACCCTTCTCCCAACAGTTCACGGGCTTCTTACCAGGCACCCAGTCCATTGGGTGAATTGTCAACGACAACCTTAGCACAAGCCACGTCTACGGCGATGTTGTCCGTCAGCAGTTCTGGAAGGAAAGCAGATGCAATAGGAGCATGAAGCAGGGGTGTAGGGGGGCAGCCTACCCCAGATGTCATCCCAGAGTGGGGGTGACAAAATCCCCCCTGGGCGGACTGCGCGATTGCCCCCAGGTGGATTGCCCCACCCCCTTGGCGGATCGCTCTGCCCCCGGGTGCACGACATGTGCACCATTCCAGGCGCCCGAGCGGCCAGCTCCACCGCTGGCATGAAGGGGCCCTGTTGGGATGTTATAGGCCTGGTGCAGTTTTGAAGGGACAAAAGAGATGTAAAAAGGGCCGGACAATATCACCTGACTCTCCCATAGTTGCAACCTTTTCTCCCCTCCCACCTGGCATGGCTCTTATGAGGCGGTCAGAAATACAACAGGTGTAGCTTCCTCCAGGATGGGAAAGCTGTGATGGTGGGATGAAGCTCTACGTCAGGCATGGCCAAACTTGGCCCTCCAGATGTTTTGGGACTACAGTTCCCACCATCCCTGACCACTGGTCCTATTAGCTAGGGATGATGGAAGTTGTAGTCCCAAAACATCTGGAGGGCCAAGTTTGGCCATGGCTGCTCTATGTGGAATTTCTGTCTATTTTGCAAAAAAACAACAACTAGTTGTCCTAGACTGACCCTCTGTCCATTAGCATTGTGCTGGTCCAGGGGGGAGGTTACCGTGGGGCGAGGTCCAGGACCTGAGTTGAGGGTCGCCAGACAGTCCTCCTCGGGCAAAGCAGGGTCCACAGCGAGAAGCTGGGCAAGGACAGGAACTCTGGGGGAACAGGACTGGATGCTGGCCAAAACAGCTCATCAACGACGTTGCTCCCGCAACCTGGGACCGGGCTGACTGGCCTTTATCTTCTCTGAGGCCAGGGGCGGTCCCGGCCCCCAGGAGACCCGCCTCTCCTGGCCTTAAGGCGAGCACTCCTCCTGGGAGAAACCAGTTCCCTTCGCCTCTCTGCCCTGAGCCTCTGCAGTTCAGGAGAGGCTGAAGGGTTACTGGACCCAGGGGGAGACTCACCTGTAGGCACTGAGTCCTCAACCACCTCCAGAGCCAGAGTGGATTCACCTGGTGCCTGCTCCTGAGGATCCGGCACAGGTGCAGGCACTTCAGAATCAAGGCCCTGCCCCAGTTCAGCCGGCCCTGGAGGCGGGGACTCCTGTGCAGGCTGGGATTCCTCCGGTTTAGCCTCTGAATCGGATTCCCAGGCCATCACAAGCATGCAGCTTGAAATAGCCTTTTGTATCCAGAGGGTAAAAAATGGGGAACAGTCCCTATACACTTACTAATTCCAAGTCAAATAAATGTACCTTCTATGATCTGACTACACAATTTAATGTCCAAACAGACTACATGTGGAACTTGAAATCTCCTGGCTAGGAGGGCTGCATTTCAGGTAGGAAGCTAGGGCTTTCCCAGCCAGCAGATACATCAACATATGAATAAGCTGCTCAACCTAGACCGCTGAACCACAGCTATCTGACTTTTTCTCTTTGGGAGTGCAAATGCCACACCTGCAAAGAGCTGAAGCAGAATGCTCCAGGGTGAGGAAGGACAACTGATCCTTTCTGTCTCCCAGAAGCAATTGATGTGCTGTGCATCACAATTTAGATTGGGGTGGGGAACCTGTGGCCCTCCAGATGTCATTTGGATCTAACTTCCATCAGCCCCGGCCAGCAAGACCAATGGTCTGGGATGGTGGAAATTGTAGACTATCAACATCTGGTGGGCCAAAGGTTCTCCATCTCTGAAAGAGGCAAATCTCCCTCCAGGAGAAGCCGATTCTCACCAGAGCATTGAATTCCGCATATGTTGGAACTTGGCTCGCTGGAACTCTGGCACCAGTAACGGCTGTTGATCTGGAAGATGCCATAGTCAGCACTGCCGTCAGAGTCGTAGTGTATGGCCTGGGTATTGTAGCTGCTCTCATGACATGCTGTGCAGACCCCTGAGACAGAAGGCATGATACGGTCAGAACTAAGTGCGCAGATTCTGAGGAGGATGCCCCATTCTTCACACCCACACGTGTTTTGAAATCCTGCCTTATCCAACTGTCCAGCGAGTCCGAGCTGCGGACTTTGGTGGCAAAGGGGTGGAAGGAACAAGAACCTCTGACAATAACAGACTGGCATTATAAGCTACAAGAATTTGCTGAAATGGCGCAGTTAACAAATACCCTGAGAGGCAATTCAAAACAAAAATTTACGGAAAAGTGGGATAGATATAAAACATGTTCAAAAATACAGTAAAGGTTCGCTATCTATGCTAGCATTTGATTGACATTGGAGTGAGATTGAGTTGAGAAATACATTGAGAGCACATATTGATATAGGAATGTATTAGATAATATGTAAAGAAACATACAATAATAAGAGTACATTCATTTGTAAAAAAGGAATATACAACAGGAAAGACAGGAAGTCTAGTGTGTTGGTATGTATATGATTTTGGGGGGGAAATGTTTCCCCCCTCCCTCTTTGTTCTTTCTTTCTTTTTTTGTTTCATTTTCTTTCTAGGTATATAAAATTTTTATATAATTTTTGTATACATGTTGGAAATTATATTATAGTATGTCCTGTAATGTAATATGACAACATTTACCGATGTAATATAAGAATGTTAACAAATAAATAAAATGCAAATTCAAAAATAAAAATAAAAAATCCAGCTGTCCAGTGAGTTCCTGGCTTCATCACATCCACCTCTACGCTGCACCCTTCCACTTCTCTGTATGTGGATGCACAAACCACATTCTTCACCCTGATTCATTCATTCACACACATCATGTACACCCTATTCCTGCAGCCCTATAAGGTAAAAAGGTAAAGGACCCCAGTCAAAGGTGACTATAGGGTGTGGCGCTCATCTTGCTTTCAGGCTGAGGGAGCCGGCGTTTGTCTGTAGACAGCTTCCTGGGTCATGTGGCCAGGACGACTAAACCGCTTCTGCCCAATGGGACACCATGACAGAAACCAGAGCGCACGGAAACAACATTTACCTTCCCGCTGGAGCAGTACCTATTTATCTACTTGCACTGGTGTGCTTTTGAACTGCTAGATTGGCAGAAGCTGGGACAGAGCAACGGGAGCTCACCCAATCGTGGCGATTTGAACCCCCAACCTTCTGATTGGCAAGCCCAAAGGGCTCTGTGGTTTAGACCACAGAGCCACCTAAGTCCTATAGCAGCCCTATAGCAGGATGCAGCATGGCATGTTCCAAATTAGCTATAGAAATGCGGAGGGAGGCCACCTTCCTCTCATAATTACAGCTACACACCTAGTCAGTCAGACCCAGAAGATTAAGCACTCTCCCCAGATGTAGTGCACAGCCACCTGCCGCCGCTGCCCCCTGCTGCCCCCCACTCAGATAAATTCTGTCTTTTCATAATGCTTGCCTAGCCAATACCCAGATGTCGCCCAATGGACTTACAGTTGGCCAGGCTATAGCCAGCATAACCATCTAAGCCCAACTGCTGGAGCCTCTGAGCCAGCTCACAGCGGCCATAGATCATGCCTTCTCCTGTGGTGAGGAGACCAGCAAGGAAGGGTAGCAGCCAAAGAGCCTTCATCGTTGTAGTGCAGGAGGTCAAGGTAGATGGTGAGGGTGTCACGCCTGCTTTTATATGGGCTCTTGGGCACTCCTCTGGAAAGAAGCCAAGGTCTGCATGATGTTGCCAGACCCTTGAGGACGTTCACCCTGACCTTGCTTAGCTAATCTGCATGTGTGTGTCAACAAGAAGAAGGGGACATGACTCTTTGGGTCCCACTCCCTGTGGCGGAGGGCTGAGAGCTGTAGCTCCAGGATCCAAGTTGTATTACTAGATTTTAATCAATTCATTAAAAAAAAAAGTATTGCCATACTATATTTGATAAATTCACAATCTAATCAATTTGATTCCTGTATTAGAATTTTTACTTTAATGTACAAATAGGGTAATTTATGAGAACTTTCTATGGTTGGTATTCAGCTAAGTTTTACTCAGCGTAGACCGGCTGAAATTAATAGACCTAACGGGCCATATTCAAGGAATTTTTTGCACTAGTGCAGAAGTGTAGAAACTTTTTGGCTCCATGGGCCGGAGCCTGATCAGGATCAGCCTCGCAAGGAAAAGGCAAGTGGGTGGGGAAGTCTGACCTGCTGGGAGCCTGAGGGCCCCATTCCTGCCTCTCTCCACCTGGCTCAGGGCGGGGCCTGATGGGCTTTGTAAGAACTGCTGCTGCTGCTGCCACCCAGCAAGGACTGGGGTATTTGGGGGATAATTTTGTTTGGAGTTTTTGTTGTTATTGATATTAATTTTTTGTATCTTTATTTTTATGTGGAAATTGTTCAGTTTGGTTATGTAGTTTTTGATGTGTTTTGTTTATTTTTATGACTACTTTGCTATGTTTGTAATTATGTAAATCTTTTCATATCGTAAGCTGCCTTGAGTATTAACTGTGGAAAAAAGGTAAAGGGACCCCTGACCATTAGGTCCAGTCATGGCCAACTCTGGGGTTGCGGCGCTCATCTCGCTTTATTGGCTGAGGGAGCCGGCGTACAGCTTCCGGGTCATGTGGCCATCATGACTAAGCCGCTTCTGGTGAACCAGAGCAGTGCACAGAAACGCCGTTTACCTTCCCACCGGAAAGGTACCTATTTCTCTACTTGCACTTTGACGCGCTTTCAAACTGCTAGGTTGGCAGGAGCAGGGACCGAGCAATGGGAGCTCACCCCATCGTGGGGATTCGAACTGCTGACCTTCTGATCGGCAAGCCCTAGGCTCTGTGGTTTAACCCACAGCACCACCCGCGTCCCCTAACTGTGGAAAGGTGGCATACAAATAAAATGATGATGATGATGATGATGAGGCACCCCTTCAACCACATGACGCCTTCTTTCACTATAGCAATTGGCTTTGCCTCTGCTCTTGGCAATTTCCATGGTCTAGTCAAAAGGACTTTCCTATGGCTGTCGCTTGACTTTCACCACCTTATCTTATCTTACCACCTCCTGAACCCAGAACAAACAGTGGGAGTGATGCCCTCTGATTTGTTCCCTGCTTATTGTTTTTGTCCAGTGGAAAAACTGGCACCTAGTTATTTGCAAAGGCAGTCAACTGGCACAGCCTGTTCCTTCACCGCTGGGAAGGGTGCTGAGTATTTTCATGTCTGTGTATTCTTGCATATTAGTTCTTCAAAAACAGGTCTTGGTGGCCCAATATTTTGTGGCACAACCCTGCTAAGGGTTCCCAGCTCATGAGGTAAAGGGAGCCCTGGCTGACAAAGCATCCAGGTGAGTTGAGCAGATGTGGGAGTTGGGCAGCAGGGCCAGGAGGTCAGGACAACACGCCCTGCTTCTCCTTTCCTTGACCCAAGCTTTCAGTAAAGTAACGTGAAGCACAAAAACAAGTACAGTATGTGGGAAGAAAGCCAGAAGGGGAGTTTGGGCTTTCCAGTGTTTTGAACTGTCCATCACAAGTATACCTATCTCTGTTGGACAGGAGTCTTGGGTGTGTCTGAGGTGCAATGAGCTCCTGGGTCTCCAGGGACAAATCTTTTCTCTTGAGGCCAAGGTGGCAGATTTGGAAAAGCGAAGAGAGGCAGAGCAGTTGATGGATGACACTGTCAGGGATGTTATAGCTGTGTCCCACTCCCAGAATGGTAGCTCCGCTGCTGTCAGGGAGAATGAAGGTCTTAGGGAAGGAGAGTACCACTCTGAGGAAGAGGGAAGCAGTTCCTCCGAAGGGACCCGTTGCTTAGGGGATGAACAGCTATCCTCTTTATCCTCTTGTGCTGTCATGGTCCAGTTCACTGGCAATCGAAGTCCCGGCAGGGGACGTCAGGACCGGGGGCAAGATGGTTGCGTGGGAGTAGGAACGGGGGTCCAGAAGCCAGGAGTCAGGAAGCCAAGAGTCTGAGGGTCAGAGAGCTGGGAGTCAAGAAGCCAAGGGTCCGAGGGTCTGGAAGCAAGGAGTCACGAAGTCAGGGATCTGAGGATCAAGAAGTCAGGGGTCCAAGGATCAAGAAGCCAGGAGTCAAGAAGCCAAGGGTCCGAGGGTCAGGAAGCAAGGAGTCACAAAGTCAGGGTTCCAAGGATCAAGAAGTCAGGAGTCTGAGGATCAAGAAGCAAGGTGTCAAGAAGCCGAGCTTCAAGGATCAGAAAGCAAGAAGCCAAACGCAGCAAGGCAGGAAGCGTGTTGCTGTGGGAAAGAGCTGAAGGGAAATGCTGACCTTATATCCCTTCCCAGCTCTTGCCACCAGGTGCAGTGAGTTACCAATTGGCCTCACCTGTGAGGCCACGGCTTGCCTCTTCAGAACAAACTTAGGAAGGCCCCAGTCCTGCAAAGTCCTATTGGTCACAGCGCCTGGCTCCTGCACGCACACCTGACATGTGCCAAGGATATTTCTCCACTGGGTGAGTCAAGTGATTTAAGTGCTTGAGGGCACTTGAACCCTTCTGGCCAGAAACAAGGAAGCTAGATTAAATGCTCCCTATCCAGGCTCCCTCAGTCTGTGAGAAGAAACGGACCCCTCTGGCTTCCTCTGGAGCTACAAAAGCATCCTTTAGCTCCAGTTTCTATCTGAATTTCCAACCAGTGACTTATTTGCTCATTTGTTAGACTCTGCATTTTTTTATCTGAACGATGTGCGCTCAGCAATTGTGTTTAATGCTTATTGTGTCTTGCTTAGTGACATTGCTGGGGCCTGTCCCATGACATCAGCAGGGCCTGCCCTTAGCTCTGAGGTTGGGGCACTGGAATCTCAGGGTCTGGGGTGCCCCTGACCTGGCAACTCCAAGCACAAATGTTCATCCATGTGCAATAAATAGGACGTCTGGAGGGGCCTATAGGGTTCTTCAGCAGCCAGCATGACCAGTCTGAGAGCAGTCATGCCTGGTAAATATACTTTGTTCCCAGACTGAACCAGTAACAGTTCTTTTCACATGAAAAAGGCAACATTCATCCCAGAAAACTGACATGACAACATCACAAGGACACTTTTATGGCAGATTCTTTTAGAATGGAGAGTGAGGAACCTGAGACCTTGGGACCAAATGCGGCCCTCCAGGCCACTCTAACTGGCCCCTAGAACTTTCCCAGGCCATACCCCTCCCTGGCCTGCTCAGCACCCTTCTTTGCTGCTTTTTCCTGGCAGGAACATGTCTTGCATAATGCTTCTTGTTTGCTTTTTCCTGGCAGGAACATGCCTTGCATAATGCTTCTTGTTTGCTTGGATGGGACATGGAGATGGATGTGTGCAAACTGCTGGAGTTTGGCTGGCTGGGATGGAGCCTAATGTGGAAAGGTCAGACCCGTTTCTCCACTGACTTTCATTCTGGTCACGCTCAATACTGGCAGGTGACCCCTAGACGGTTGTCTGGGACAGGTTCTCCACCTCTGTTTTAGAAGTATCAACAACACTGTTTTCATGATGTGTGCCTTGACTGCTTTGTTCAGATTTGTTTCAAGTTCATCTTCTTTTCTGTGTATTTGGCTTTGTTGATCTGCACATTTCATGCCTATACGGTCGAGACACTGGGTGGGATTCAGCTAAGTTGTTGTGTGTGCAGAATGAGGCCCACTCGCACAACGGGACTTCCCTCCACGCTCTCCCCTTCCTGCACCTCCCTAAATCTAGAGGGTATGGGGAACTCCTAGAACTGTGAGGGACTGAGCAGAGGAGGAATGGTGGAGACTGCCTCCCCAGGAGAAGGAAAAGGAAGACAGTATAGATACAAAAATACAATCTCAATAATAAAGTTACAAGATAATAACAAGGAAGTCACGCACGGGTGGAGGGAAGACACAGGGCAAGAAATAAGAAATGGATAAATGTTGGTAAATAATGAAATGTGAAAATGTGAATTTACGAATATTATATATATATATGTATCATTATGTAAAGATTTCATATATGTGTTGCAACATTAATAATAAATTACAACAGGGGTTTGAGGGAGGTCGCAGCTCAAAGGCAGATGAGGTGGGAACCTGGGAAATCATGGGAGAGTCAGAGCAACACCCAGCTGAAACGTTGTCATTAAAAAGAATTCCAGACCCTCCATCTCCCAGAACCCGGCGAGCCTTAAAAGTAGGAGAGCAAAGAGATCAAAGACAGAGGGCACATAGCAGCACCCGCAGAGGAGACAATGAGAATGAGGAATGAGGAAGTGGGAGAGATGGGGGTGGAGATTCACTCGGGACAACGCCATTATCCAATAGACTGGGTTCTGTAGCCTCTCTCTGTAAAGACTGAAATAAAAAAGGACGGTAAGGAACTTTCCCTTGTCTTTATACTTTCCTGGGCAACAAGCTGGGAGCTGCTGACAGCATCCTGACAAGAACAGGTTTAGAGGGTGCGCTGTAAGAGGAAAGACCCATTGTGTGAGCAGATCTCATTCCTTGCATGTGTACCGCTAAATGGAAATAGCGACACTGTGCTGCTAAAAAGCACCGTGAAAGAAGCTTAAAATTGTCGTGTTGCCTGACTTATGGACTTTAAAGTAATCAAGGCAAGCATCAGAGTGGCAAAATTGCAAGTGCCTTGGACGCATTATGTTTTTTCTTTCCATGAGACAAGGTTGACTGTATCCAAATCCTAACTGCTGATGGATTGCCCCCCACCTCCCACAATGGTGCTGGGACTGTTTCGCTGTACAATCAGCAGCAGGAGAATGTTGTTGTGATCCTATTCTCTTAGGGAGTTTGCACGGGTCTTTGGTTGGCCACTGCAGGGAAGCAAGATGGTAGGCAAGAGAGGCCAAGGGTGGGGAAATTCAGCCCTCCAAGTTTCTCTACCCAGCCCCCAGGATTCTCCCCCAAGCCACACACCTCTTCTCCCATGGCCCCCCTCTCACCAGCCCTGCTTCACACCCTCCTCGAGTATATCTGCCTGGTTGGAATATGCCCTGGCACTCTGACGGTGCCTTTTGCTTGTCTGGATGGAAGCTGGAAATGGGGTGTGGAGCACAGGTAGAAAACAGCGTACAGTGGTACCTCAGGTTAAGTACTTAATTTGTTCCGGAGGTCCGTTCTTAACCTGAAACTGTTCTTAACCTGAAGCACCACTTTAGCTAATGGGGCCTCCTGCTGCTGCCGCGCCGCCGGAGCACAATTTCTGTTCTCATCCTGAAGCAAAGTTCTTAACCTTAAGCACTATTTCTGGGTTAGCAGAGTCTGTAACCTGAAGCGTATGTAACCCGAGGTACCACTGTATTGCACAATAGCAAAATATACATTTGTTGTTCCATCTACAGTGGTGCCTCGCAAGACGAAATTAATTCGTTCTGCGAGTTTTTTCGTCTTGCAAATTTTTCGTCTTGCGAAGCAATGCACCCTGGGTATTAACGGTTTTAAGAAAAGGAAACAAACTTGCAAGACGTTTTCGTCTTGCGAAGCAAGCCCATTGGGAAATTCATCTTGCGAAGCAACTCAAAAAACCAAAAACTCTTTCGTCTTGTGAGTTTTTCGTCTTGCGAGGCATTCGTCTTGCGAGGTACCACTGTACTTCTGCCTCTGGCCCCACCCACCACTGGCATGTAGCCCATAAATGAAACGTGGCCCTTGGACTGAAAAAGATTCCCCAACCCCGAGAGAGACCTTTTGTTTGATCCAGCTGCGCTCTTCTCACATTCCTAACCAAAGCAGGGAGCTGGACCCAAGGGTCCTGCTGAAATACAGCAGACCGAAGGAGCTGTTCTTTTGAACAGGCAAGGGAAAGAAGACCCTGGTCTATTTATAGACCAAGTCTGACCAATCCAGAGGCTCCATCCTGTGCCAAAAAATGTCTCTGAGACCTGTGCACATGCAGCCCTCAGTAGCTAATGGGGCTAAGTTGCAGCTATAGGTGAATGTAGTTCTTGGACTCACCTTTTTTTGGATTACGATTTTTGGGGTTGTGATAAGATCAGCTCTGTATTTAAGGATTTGCCAAAGGGAGGAGGGGAGAGGGACTCTTTAATCCATCAAATAGACGCAAGAGATCAACCAAATAAAGGAAAATGGTGGGTTCTTTGTCAGTCCTTCACACAAAACCCAAGCCAAGAAAGAAAACCCTTCAGAGCTGATGTACAGAATGGACTCTCTTATCTACATATAGCTTAGCTTATCCTGACTCAGCTGTGGAGCCTATTGGACAATCACCCAGAAGATCCCATGACTCCTACTCCCACCGCTCACAACGGGTGCAATATTGAAGAATGGTGGGGATCGGTGCATCCATTTCTCAGCAGCGTAGCTCTGCTGGCAGTGGGAAGCAGAAGCAGGTCATGTTCTAGAAGCCCAGTTGCTGTGACGTCACAGGAAACCCATCAGATTCCAGAAGCACCTGCCCCTTGGGAAGTCTGCCTCCAATTGCAGAGGGACCCAAGTGATTCTCTCACTTACGCAGGGCTTGTTCAGTAAGTGGCTTTCTGGAAGGGTGGGAGAAGAGCCAGGCTGGGTGTGGAGTCATGATGTGTAGACCTCAGCCACAGCTTTGAGATGGACATGTGTTCTCATGGGATAAACAGAGTGGAACAGGTGCATGAGGCTCGATTCTTGAGTTCTAGCTGGTCTACAAGGGAAGTGGGGACTCGTGTTTTCATTTGCATGTCTCTGATGGGGTGGAATGTGTATTTGTGGAGGGCTTCTCTTTCAAATCCTACAAGGAAAGTTGATTCTGCTACAAACTCTTAGTCTAAGGTTACCAGACATCCCCGTTTCCTGGGGACAGTCCCCAGATTTACAGATCAGTCCCCATACAAAATCCATTGAAGTTGAAATGTGTCCCCAGATTCATTGAAAAAAATCTGGTAACCTTATCTTAGTCAGCTGAGGCACACTTACTGTGTGTAGAGGGGGAGCAGACAATCTTCACTTTAGGAATACTCTTGAAAGATAGCCATCAGGGCATAGTCGAAGGACTGGAGAATTTTGGACAGCTGTGCCAGAGAGTTTTCTTCATTGATCTTACATTTGTATCCAGCTTTTATTTCAACATGGAACCCAAGATTCCCCGATGGTTCCCCATCCAGACAGTGACCAAACACAGACCTACTTAGCTTAGCCAGGTGCCAAGTCTTATTGTGTGCGTTAAGACCACATACCCTGGGACCAACATTTCGTTGCGTTTCACAAAGTTAGTCAACACTACGGCCAAGACAGGGAGTGTGGCTAAGACAAAGCCTACAAGCTCACTCTTCTGGGATGATCCTACAGTGATGCTGGACTCCAGCTCCCATTGTTCTCGATGCTGGCTGGAGCTGATGGGAGTTGGAGTCCAGTTGTATCTGGAGGACCACAGTTCCCCATGTAAAGAGGAAGTATCAGATACAGTGGTGCCCCGCAAGACGAATGCCTCGCAAGACGGAAAAACCGCTAGACGAAAGGGTTTTCCGTTTTGAAGTTGCTTCGCAGGACGAATTCCCCTATGGGCTTGCTTCGCAAGACGAAAATACCTTACGAGTCTTGAGATTTTTTTCGCTTTTCCCCCTTAATCTAATCTGCTAAGCCTTTAATAGCCTTTAATAGCCTTTTAGCAGCTAATCCCTAAGCCTTTAAGCCTTTAATAGCCGCTAAACCGCTAATAGCGCTAATAGCGCTAATCCGTCAATGGGCTTGCTTCGCAAGACAAAAAAACCGCTAGACGAAGACTCTCGTGGAACGGATTAATTTCGTCTTGCGAGGCACCACTGTATAAACATAATCATACATGTAGTCTTCAACATCCAAAAAGCTTTAAATATTCATTTCCAGAAGTGTGAGCTGATGAATTGTTTTGTCTGAGGGCTCAAGTATTGCACGGTCTGAATGAGGTCAGGTGGTGTGCATGGAAGTGTTCACACACCAGGAATAAGTGGTGAGCTTTCTCCCGATTCCTCAAATGTAAAGACAAATCACAGTGGCCTAGTCGCTTGCTAACTGAACCCTTTCACCACAAGGGGCCTCATGGTGGTTTTCTCTTTCTCCATAGGCTGCCTTGGAGTCCCATGCCCCACCTGTCGTTCCTCGGGGATCATGTCCTTCCCAACACTTTTTTTAGGGAAGAAGCTTCTTTTGCTGCTGCCTCTCCTCATGTGCTTTACATCCAGAGTTGGGGGAAAGATCTTCGGACGCTGTGAGCTGGCCCACTTATTGAAGGTGTCTGGCTTGGAAGGTTACCGTGGATACAGTCTAGCTGACTGTGAGTGCTTCTCTCCATCTCTTCCCTCCGTCCCTCTCACCTGAACTGAGGTCAGCCCTCATGTATGGGGGGCAGGATCTCCTGGCCCTCCTGTTCAGGACCTGGGTATTGGGGTGGGGTGGTTGTAATAATCAGGGCTGCATATTCTACAGCAGAGCTTTCCAAACTTTTCCTGTTGGTGGCACACTTTTTAGACATGCATCATTTTGCGACACAGTAATTGAGTTTTACTAGCAAACCAGAAGTTAAACTAACCCCTTTCCAGTCCCACGAGGAGCACAGGGAGCGTTCATGCAACAGACCTACACACTGCAGATGACACACTAATGTGTCACAACGCACAGTTTGGAAAGCTCTGTTCTACAAGCATGTGCAAGGGCAGTAAAAAAAAGTGTCACATGAAATTTAGTGGTGAGAATGTGTGAGCTTTAATCCCCAAAAGAAAAAGGCATACTTCTAGCTCTCATGACTGTGAAGAGAAAGACTTGGAAATGTACGTTTAGTTATTTATTATTTATATTTTATGACAATTTATCTACTGCTTAATTGCAGTCATCCGTCCCTAAGCGGTGTATGGGAAACTGAAGACACTGAAAATGAACATTGGTTCAAATTATAAAATCAGAATTCAGTTAAAATGACTGCTGGCATAGCAATTTTCAACAGGCTCTGGAAGTTCAAAAGGGAGGGACCTCATCTGGAAAGTGGTTCCATAAAATTGGGTCCAAAATGCTGAACGGACTCTGCCTTGGAAATTTAAGGTGTGCATCTTAGCCGGGGGGTGGGGTGGGGAGACTGCTACCAGTGTCTCCCCTGGAAACCTCAAGGCTTGGGCAGGATATAAAGATTCAAGCGGTTCAAGGGGTATCCTGGCCCATGTTGTAAATTGAGACAAACACCTGGAGCCTGGCCCAGGTGTGGGCAGCCAGTGCAAGCTTTCAAGCACTCAAGTTATGTGCTGGTGTTGCTCTGTTCCCGTCAACAGTCTAGCTGCAGCCTTTTGCACCAGCGGCAGCCTGCAGGCCAGGCCCAAGCGTAGCCTTGCATGGAACGCATTGCAATAACTGAGCCACCTTGCTGCATGAATCACTATGAAGCATGTGTGCCCTGCCTAGCTCCTTGTCCCTCCCGCATGACTGACAGAAGCAAATAAATTATGCAAAACAAGGACCTATATGTAAATATGCTTAATTTGCATAATTTATACAGGTGACCCAAACCCCAGCATTTCCTGGAGCAGAATTTGTGTTAATCTTGGCGCAGAATTCCTGGATCCTTCTCCCTCTCCACCTTATAGGGGTCTGCTTGGCCTTCTATGAGAGCCACTTTGACACGGCAATTGTGGACCACGAAGCTGACGGCAGCACCAGCAATGGCATCTTCCAGATCAACAGCCACCTTTGGTGTGAAGATTACAAACACTTCCAGCCGAACTTCTGCAAAATGCATTGCAGCGGTGAGCTCTGAAGTGGGTTGGCTTCAGTTCTACATCCTGGCATTAGAGGGCGCTGCTCAGCAGCCATATGGGACCAGGTTGCAGCAGAGTTCCCTGCGGGGACTACAGCATCTGCTGCCGCCTTTGCTTGTAAGGTCCACTCAGTGGAGCCTGCATCCTGCATTTCTGCATGAGCCACTGATCTTGGACACACACCTTCTGATTGGAAGAGGGCAAGCACAGGGACCTAGGAAGAGAGACACTGGCCTCCTCCTCCAAGGTGCTGCAATTGAAAGATCCATGCCCAGACAATGTGGCAACAAGGCAGAATTACCTGTGCCCCAAGCCTGCTTCATCAGAAGCTGGCCAAGCCAGACCCAGGTATCACACAAAGAAGCAACAGGCAAACATCCACGCAGGTGGGAGATTTGATTCCCTGCCGTCCTCTTATAGAAGGAATGAGGGACCCATGGACCTTTGGACGTTGTTGGAATACAAATCCCATGAGCCCCAGCCAGCCTGACCAATGGCCAGGGCTGTTGGGAGTTGTAGCCCAGCAAATTATGGAGGGCTGTCCATCTCATGGCATGTTTATGTCCCCTGGCAGACATTTTGGGGGTTTCTGTACTAGGGGGATGTGCTGGTCTGCAGAGATATTCTCTTTCCAATAGGAAGGCACAAGACTCAGGCTAAGGAGCTGGTTGGAGAGAGGCTCTGGAGGGATGTTGTAACTCATGGGTCACCTCTGCAGGCTTCTTCTCTGTTGCCTCAGCCCCTCATGCTTTCTTTTCCTCTGTCCCCACAGATCTGCTGACCAGTGACATCAAGGATGACATCGTCTGTGCCATGAGGATAGCACAAGGACCAAGAGGCCTAGGAGCATGGTAAGGGGAGCTCTCGGGAGTAGCGGGGTAAAATCTAGTGACCACCACTAGGTCCTGCGCTTCTGCTGCATGCTAAGCAAAACAGGAGAATTTGTTAGCAAGACACTGTGGTGATATCCAGCCTTACTGTTAGCCCCCATCCTCTGGACAACCAGCCATCAGAAGGATCTTGTCTCTTAAGATGGATGGTAAATCAATGTTGAAAAAATCCAAAGAAATCAAGCAACAGAAATTATTATTAAAGTATAGTGCAGAATTGCAACAATCTTTTTTAAATATAATACATAGCACTTAGAAACCACAAACACATACCTGTACAAGGATCTGATGCACAGGATAATTTTAAAAATAATAATGAACAATTGCCCTGCAAAGCCACAAAATCCCGAAATAAAAATCCCTCATTAAGTCTGGTACACTTTTAAATAACAGAGATTTCAAAGTCCACAAAATTCAGATCTCAATGCAGGTATGAAATTTACGGCATGTAATGCTCTAAGAGAAAACTTAATGAAAATGATTTATAGGTGGTACGTGACACCAGTCAAGCTTGCAAAAATCTACCATTTGCCCAATAATAAATGTTGGAAATGTAACGAGACTGAAGGCACATTCTTTCACCTTTGGTGGACATGCCCAAGGATTAAGACATTCTGGGAGATGATTTATAACGAAATGAAAAAGGTATTCAAATATACCTTCCTGAAGAAACCAGAGGCCTTTCTCCTGGGCATGGCCGGCCAATTGGTGTCAAAGAAGGATAGAACTTTCTTTAAGCATGCAACAACAGCAGTGTTATGTACTGAGTTGAATAGGATCCAAACTGCAGCAGTCTGATTGGTCCTAGAACAATGCAGCAGTATGATTGGTTGGCAGGAACCACCCAATCATGCTCCAGATATAAGTGAATCCACAACCTGATTGGCTTACAGTAGAATTCCAGAATTAGCCAATCATGTGCAGCCCATTGTGTAAATAATGTATATAAAGCAGATACTTAGAGGGGACTTTCATTCATTCCTCCTCACCACTATGAGCTGAATAAAGAGCATGAAATCACTTTGCGACTCTGAGTATATTTCAAGCAGCAAGGATACTTATCACAAAATATTGGAAGACACAAGATTTACCCACCCGGGAAGAATGGCAGATGAAGTTGATGGACTATATGGAATTGGCGGAAATGACTGGCAGAATCCGAGACCAGGGAGAAGAGTTTGTGGAAGAAGATTGGAAAAAAATTAAAGATTATTTACAGAAATACTGTAAAATCAATGAATGTTAGAAAAATGTTGGAATGAAGTTACATGGCTTTAGTAGAAATGTTATAAGGAATTAAGTATAAATAGATTAATAGAGTATTAAAGGAAAAAATAAGGTTAGAATGAGTCAAGATAATTATAGGATAGGAAACAGAGGAAGATGGAAAGGAATTGCTGAAATAATTAACAGAAGTGGAAAACAAAAAGGGAGGTGTGAGGAGGTCATGGAAATAAGTGAATGAAAGATGGGATAATGAAATTGTTTGATTTATTTTATTTTATTGTTTTTTGTTTTTTGTTAGTTTAATGTATTGTATTGTATTGTCTTTTTTTAGTGTTTAAATTTTTTGGAAAAGTAATAAATATTATTTTTTTAAAAACAAAAACAAAATTCAGATCTCAAAGTTAGCTGATCGGGAGTCATTGGGCTTGTTCTTACAAAATCTTGTTTATGGCAACTTCAGCAGACTAGATTTGTTCATTGATTGAACAAATGTAATAACAGCCCCACAGTTCAGGGGTAAGGAAGCTGTGGCCCTACAGATGTTGTAGGGCTGATGCTCATCACCCAGTGAATTTCATGGCTGAGTAGAGATTTGGACCCTGGTCTCCCATGTCCTAGTCAGGCACCCTGACTATTACACCACACTGGCTGCCCATGGTGGTGGACTCCAACCTCTATCAGACCCCTGCCAGCTACCCCAGCCTAAAGAGTTTATCACAGACTCATAGAAGATAGAAGCTGCCATACTGAGTCAGATCATTGGCATGTCCCTCTCAATTGTGCCTAGACTGACTGGCAATGGCTCTCCAAGGTTTCAGGTGGTCTTTCCCAGCCCTACCTGGAGATGCTCCTGGGGACTGAACCTGGGACCTTCTGCAAAGCAAACCAGATGCTCTACCATGGAGCTACGGCCTGTAGAAGAATCATATTGTAGGCCTGACATTATAGATTCCTTGACCATTCAGATTCCAGTGGACCATTATGTCTCTGCAGCTGTGCAGAAGCTAGTTGTCTGGTTATGGTGGCCCTTGCCAGTCTGATGCCGTCCAGATGTATTGGATTACAGTTCCCATGAGCCCCATCTGGGACAGGCATACGACGCAGGGGCTGATGGCAGTTGTAGTCCAAATCATCCGGTTGGTGAAGACGGAGTTATGCTCAGGGCTTGGAAAGTTCATTTTAAAAAGGACTTTGTTCCAATTCACCCCTCCAGAAAGCAACTAACTCTGTTCCAGTTCACTTCACAGCTCAGTTCACAATTCATTCTTGTGGTTCTCAGCATTTCCCCCTAGTCTTCAGAATTTTAAATTGCTAAAGTATAAAATCTGCTTAAGAAGACTATGAAACATTTTTTTTAAATCCCCACCATCCCCAGTATAATGTGAACACTTGTTTCATTTCTTCTTTGCAACAATCATGAGCTTTAATCTTAAACTGCAGCATAGCCTCCAACATTTATCCGATGAAAATAGGGACGTCTCATTCCATAAGGATAATTTTACTATTTATACCCCACACATCTTACTTGGGTTGCCCCAGCCACTCTGAGCAGATTCCAATATATATAAAAACATAAGAGAACATTAAACATTAACCAAAAAAACCCTTCCCTATACAGGATTACATTTAGATGGCTTGGGGGTTGGATAACTCCATACCCTCCAACATTTCTCCAATGAAAATAGGGACATCCTAAGGAAAAATAGGGTATTTCAGGATCATATCAGAAACTGGGACAGCTTCTCTAAATCAGGGGTATCCCTGGAAAATAGGGACACTTGTAGGGTCTGCAGCAGCATCACTTTTCAGATTGAATTGAATTAAAAATTGTCCTCATTTCCACCATTTAGCTCACCTGGAAATTATAGGACCTACTCTCAAGTGTGATCCAGAGGTTTTTGAATTTATTCAGTGCATTAGTTAATTTGAATGAGTTTTTTCCAAGCACAGGTTATACTCTTCCTGTCTGTTTCTTTGGGACTTGTACAGCAGAAGCTATCCTGTAAATTTACATTCCATATTTATTGAGTTTATCAATGAATTTCTCTTTAATGAGATTCCCTTTCTTTCTCTCACTCAGGATGGGTTGGAGGGAAAATTGCGAAGGCCTTGATTTGTCTGCCTGGTTGAAAGGATGCATTCTGTGAGAGAATAACAAGGAGGACAGAAAGGCGGCTGTGGAAGGGCTGGGCGCCGGATGTGTGGCTTGCGCCCTGGGACTACTGCCTTCCTGGAGCTAAATAGTGCTGCATGAATAAACTCTTTTAAAGCTCTCGGCTGGGCCCTGCAGTGGGGAGAGTGATTGTAACTTGGACAATGAGAACCAAATCTTGTGCTATAAAAATATTTCTTCAGACTCGTTGTGATTTGAGGTACCGTGTATTGCAGCTCATGTGAGGGGACGCGTTGGGATCTATGATGCCTCAGTTTTCAAACTGTATTCCAAGAGGTCCCTCAGGACCTTATCGGGGCTTCCTCAGTTTAAAGGTCAGTAATGGCAAACAAGATTCCTGCAAGGACAAGTTGGTTGTTTATTTTGTTAATTAAATTTGTATGCCACTCTATACTGATAAAACTCAGGATGGTTCTCAATATAAAAACAAAATATACAATAATAAGAACGGGAACAAATAAGCCACCTTCCACAGAACATTTGAAAGCCTAAAAACGTTTTATGAAGGTGCCAACCAAACCTCCCTGGGGAGAGCATTCCACAAATGGGGAGCCACTGAAGAAAAGGCCCTAGTATACCCCCAGTTTAAACAAGGAACATAGGAGAATTCTTACATTTTACTTACATTTATTTGTATTTATTCTTACATTTATTTTTATTATTACATACATGTTCTTCTACCTCTCCACTTTTTCCTTGCAACAACCCTGTGAGGTAGGGTCTGCTAAGAGATGGGCTGTATACACACCATACATTTTAAGCACATCCTCCACTCCTCACACCAAAAAAAATAATCATGGGAACGGTAATTTCCTTTTCACACAGCTAGAATTCTCAGAACCCTTAACTACAGCTCCCAGAATTCTTGTGTTTACGCTGCCATAGTGACTGGAACAAGGGCTTCATGTCTTGAGTGGGGATTTGAATCCTGGCCTCTTGTGTCCTAGACTGAGCCTCTGCCCACTACACCACATTGCATTGCAAAAAGTGGTGGCCAGTTGTCCCTGGGGAAGCATCTGTCAAACACAACCACTTAACCCATTGAGGAATCCCTGATAAGCTTCCAAGGCCCCAGGCTTCTCCATAATGCAGTCTGAGAACCACTGAGGAAGATGCATGCATCAGTTTCACAGGCATATGGCCACTGTTAATGGGGGGTGGTGGGTTTTGGATAATTCCCAAAATTTGGGTTGTTCCCCCCCTTTTATTAATAAAAGGGGCAAATAAGAGAAAACATTACAGAGGCATATACCATCATAACACTGTGTTGAGAAAATAAGAATCTGGAGTCATTTAACAAAGTGATGTGATAGTAGCAGAGTTGGAAAGGATGTAAGTCATCCAGTCCAACCCCTTGCTGTGAAAGGTACCAGCTGCTTGGCCATGAGCTCATGTTCTACTTGTGGGTTTCCTGGGGCCACCTTGAGAACAGGTTGCTGGGCCTTTGTCCAGATTTAGCAGCTAAACCTTTACATAATGTAACCTTTGGGAGCACAGGGTTCAAATCCCAACTATCTTCCAGAAAAATAGCTGACTGCATACCCTTGGGGGGAAAGCACTGACTTGGGCCAGCAACAATCTCCTTACCTTAAAGGGTTGTTGAGGAAATAATGGGAGAACCATGTACAGCACCTCCTAGTGTTTCTCAGAAGATAAAGCTGGAAGATAAATCCTTTTATAAGGATTGAGGTTCTGAGCCTATTGCACAAACAATATTGCCCATGATGGCTAATTCCACACCCCTCCAGCTTTATTTTGGTGTCTTTGACCTCTATGCACCTCTCCCAATATGCATTTTGTTTCTTGACCAATTACTTCCCATTTTCAGGAGCCACTGCAGGGGTGCACACGTTGTGGCTCCATCATTAGATAAAATACAGTATTAAACCCCACAATTGCCTCAATAATTAAATTCCCAAAAAGCAAATTGTGAAAATCCATATTTGCCCTGGAAGATGTAAAATGTGCCCCAATGTGAATAACACTTTATATAGCCTCACTGTTTTTCATTACAAGATTGAGAAAATAGGTCACTGGCTGGTGGTGGTTCATGCATGTACATTTGTTGTTAAGTTATTGGAAAGATCTATATTCTATATAAGGACAACAGGATTTGCAGGTTGAGGTATCTCAACTTTTCCTCAAAGGACCTCAAAGTGACCAACATGGGCTACTTTACATCTTGTAATAAGCTGGGAAAGTTAAGAGTGAATGGATGAAAGTCATCTATTTAATTTCATGGTTGGATGGAGATTTGAACTACACAATACTTGCATGTGTTTTCCCAAATATAAGGGGCAGCAGATCCCTTGAAAGTGATAAGGCTTGGCAAATCCAGTGATCAACTCTCACCCAGAAACCAATGTCCCCACTGTGGAAGGATGTGTGGATCCAGAATTGGCTTTTTATGGAAGACAATCTTATTGCCACTTATGGCTACAAGACACTGCAGCCAACTAGTACTGAATAATTTAATTGTACTAGTGTAGCATGCAATATTTGGGTGTTTTAAAAGGCTAGCATTAGTTATGGTGCAACATGAGTGTGTATAGATAGAACACCTAAGGGAGGAAAAAGTATGGGGGTGTGGAAAAGAGAATTAAACCAAAGGATGGAAACATCTAGTTTATGTGCAAAATGCAACTGAGGTTTTACAGTTAATGTGGTTTGACCTAATGTGGCTCCCAAGTGTTGAGAGACCAAGAAATGGGTCTATTGAGCTATACACCAGACATGTTTTATTTGACAAAACCACAAAAGTCACATTACAATTCATTAGAGCACAGTTTTTATTAATTTAAACAGCTTTTGGTAGTTTCATGCAGTAGCTACAATACAGGTGTACAGCAACAATGTTATAAAGTCAGTTAGGGAAAGATTGCAGGGGAGGGTTAGGGGTTTTTTTGCAAGCTTAAAAAAGCAAGATGACTAGGGAATGTATCAAGTTTTGTTTAATTCACGGTTCTCCAGACCTTTTGCTTTAGTTAAACAAAACTTATGCAACCATACATTGTGACATTATGTTAGGGAAAATAGGGAAAACACTATGGAAAACACTTGTTGCAAATTCTGACTGGAAACTACCCAAACAATGTAGCACTTACCCCATATTGCCACAACAGTAGAGTGCTAATGTTTGAGCAGCAACTGGCCAGAGATTAATCCTTTTTGGTGCAGGACCCCCTAGAAGCCACTTCATCAAGGAGCACTTATGAGTACAGGCTACAGAAGTGCTCAGAGGTGAAGTAGCCTATGGAGGAGAAAGGAGTCACACCTTTGGCAGGGAAGACTTACAAAAAGCTGAATATACCAATGGACAAGGTCTCTGAAGAGTGAACTGGAGCCAGAACCTCACCCAAACAATGAAGCACTTTCCTGGTCTAATGCAACAGAAAGTGCCAGTGCCTGGGCAAGGTTCAGTAAGGGTTGGCTCAAAGATCATCCTGCTAGGATACATAGAAGATAAATAATCCTAGTCTGGTCAAAGAAGGTTTGACTTCGTTCCAGGTGATGAGGAAGTGCAGGCTTTGCTTATATTCCCTGTAAAATAGCAAGAAAAACAGTGTTAAAGATCTGGAAGGCAGGAAGGGACTCCTAAAAATCACAAGATTTAAGATTAGGGAAAGATCGATACAAGTTACAGAAGTTAAAGAACAAGAAGAAATTGTTGTTAAAAGCTGCTGTAGCTTGTAGTTTGTAGCTCAGTCAGGCCTGAACTCCACACAAACAATATAGCACTTAATTGACTCTGAATATAAACAAGAAAGTGCCACTGTCTGCGTGGAGTTCAGAAGGCCCTCGGTTTCCAGATCTGTGGGAATGGGGAAAAGTTTGCAGCCCTTCATAAAAATTGCTCGGGATGAACTCGGGATCTCTTTGCGGTCGCGATGGGATGCGCAAACAGCTGATCCGGGTTTAAACTCTGCACAGCGGATACTGAACAGCACGGGAAAAGGTACCTTGACCTATGAAGAACACAAGAATAACCACACGCTGCTCAAAACACGAGAAATGCTAAAAGCATTAAAAATAAACAAGAGATTTGCACTAGGTTGACAAACGCGGAGCGAAACTGGCTAATCCGATTGCTACCGCTAGAGGCGCCAACAGTTCAATCACCACCCTGGTAGTTTTAATGGACGGCAGCCAGAGCAGTGTTACCTGGTTGGGCATTTGACCAAGTCAAGAAATTTTATGCGAAAACCTGACCAAGACGTTGCCAATATAATGAAGCACTTTCTCAGTTTTAAAAATCACAAGGCAGTGCTATCGTATTGGCGGCGTCTAGGCAGCGCAGAAAGCGTGCTTGGGTCCAACCCTCGTGGCTCCAGGATGCAGTCCCGACCCAACCCCCCCCCCAAAAAAAACCCCGCGAAATGCCAAAGAGATCCTTCACCCCAGCTGCAGAAAGGATGCCAACCAACACCAAAGAAAAGGAGACCCAACTTCCTCCTCCCGTCTACTGGATCCCCACAACTCAACACTTCCAGTTTTTGACCATCTCAAACACGTGGCCTCGATTGTGGAAAATTACGTATTAAGTTGCCAGTCTTCTGGGAAGACAAGACTCTTGCAAAGCTTCCCCGAACCAAATGAATACGCCTCCCCAGTCCCCATATGAAAACCCCCCACCCAGTTATCCCCTCCCTCATATTTACCAAACAAAAACATTCAGGGTTGGGTAGAGAGGTTTTTGTTGTGTAATGCTTAAAAATACAACCAGTTAAGAAACGACCATTCCCCTTCCAAGTGTCATTGAGCGGTTTAAAGCCCCCCAGCTCCTACGTCTGCAAGCTATATACAAGGTACAAATTTCTGCATCCCACCTCCCGGAAGCCGCAAAAAAATAATAGTACAATTTTGAAGGTAAAGAGACCAACCTGAAAGGTTTCACGTTCGGGGAACACAAAAAAAAAGTACGGCCCGTCCTGCAAATTTCCACGAACAGAGCCAAAAGAATCCCAAGAATTTAAACCTCCCGGGCAGATCAAGAGATCTCCCCTTGGCCGTCCCAAGATCCAAAGCATGGTCTGGGAGAGGTCTTCCCAAGCCCACCAGCGCCCCGAGCCCTTTCCCTCCAATGCTCACCAGCCGTGCCATCTTCCGTGATGGTCTCTGCTCCTGGGGTCCAGAGATGTGCTGTCCCAGTCGAGGGGCGCCCTTTATAAAGCCTGCAGCCTCGA